AGACGGGAGGAACACCTAGAAGAAATAAACCAGCAGGACGATCCTGGAATCGAAACGAGCGCAGGAGAGCACATTCGAAACGAGGACCCAGCCGAAACTGAAACGAACGAGGCCAAAACCGCCTCCGAGCAGTCCTCGGCAGCCAAGAGAAACGCCGAGTCGGGAGTCGAGGCGTCGCACAAGGCGCATCCGGAGCTCCCGTCCGTCGAAAGTGTCCGAGAGGATGAGGAATCGTTCTGCGAGGATGCTGCTGGTAGGGGTGATTCGCTGGCTTCCCTGGTCTCGACGGCGGACGAGGAACACAGAGGGGAGACGAGGCGAGAACTTCAAGACGGAGAAAAGGGAGAAACCGACTCGAATCCCCTCAACGCCGCAGAGGAACCCGAAGGCTGCGAGGAAGAGACCGGGCCACCGGCTGACGGCGAACCAAGCCTTGCACGGGACTCCCACGACGAGTCGGGTGCGGATGGGCTTTCAAACGAGCAAGTGAAGAGTTCCTCGAGGCGGAACCGAGGACTGGAATCTGAACACGAGTTCTCTAACGGTGAAGAAAAAGAGGTTCAGGCTCTTCACGACTCGGATGGCTCCTCCCAAGAAAGTCCAAAGGCCGAAGAACTCAAAGGCATCAAAGAGGAAACTTCTTCGGATGCGGATTCAGTGATGGACAAAACCAGGAGAGAAGTCGAATCCTCACCTGACGAACAGAAAGAAACAGACGATGTAGCAAAACGTTCAGAAGGGATGGAAAGCCAAAAAAATCTGTCTGGAGTGATGGAGGAGGCCAAAACTCCTAGTGATTTGCAATGGGATGCTCACAAGGCAGACGAATCAACAGGTTCTGAATTAGCAAATGGGAATCGACCACTCATCAGTCCAGACACATCAGGAAAGATCCACAATGATGTTCTACCCGAAGTCTTGATGTTGCTGGAAGCAGGAAGTGAATTGAAGGCTAAACGAACGCTCGACAAGCACGAAGAACTTGAAGAGGAACAACAGGAAGCAGATGGGGAAGACTATGAGACAGGGTCCAAAGATGGTGAGAAAACCAGCAGAGGGAGCAAGTTGGAATTCAAAGCACCAAAGGAAGAACAAGAGCTCATCACTGATCTAGGATCGGACCCCAAAGAAGCGAAGACCACAGTGAGATTGGCAACAGAGAAGACGGACCTCGACCCGGATCGCGTCGGCGTCGCGGGGACGGCGGCAGAAACAGCCGCAGGGTCCCCGAAGAGCTTCCTTGCCGAGCTCCCCCTTTCGAAGAGGCTCTCGCCCGGGTCCTCCACCTCTCCGCAGCAAACGCGACGGAGTACCGGCCAGGACAAAAACACTCCGAATTGGGAGTTGAATAAATCCAATGACTTCATGATCAAGGAGGAGCCATTGGGGAGAATTCCCCAAGGTGGAACTTCGATCCTCGAAGATCACTTAATTTTTCCTGGGTTCTTGGCGATTCCAAGTGAGACAGCTGGCACTGACACACTGGAAGCTAAGCAGTCGCAAGCAGGTCAATGGAGTGCAATTACGTCAAGCAGCAAGGGTCTTCCCTATCATGAGGCTTACTCATTTGGGATCCAGTTCATGCCCTTGTTCACAACTGATCTGGAAACAAACAGCAATGGCCAACATGATCTTTTTGACACTGCTGGTCCATCCATCCCAATGTTCCCATGGTTCCCAGGTTTCTTTAAGCAATTTCTGAAGAATCTCCAAACTCAGTCGCCTGATACGTCACTTCACACCAAGACTGCTCTAATGAAAGCCAAGAAGGCTCTCCCTTTGATTTCAAATGAATTAGAATTGGATGGAGTGGAAAGTCCTAGAAAAACTAAAGCCTCTGAAACAATGATGGAATCATACACTCGGGACATGCCCGATGATGACAGTGATATATTTTCCATCAAGAATGCTTTAATTGAGCCAGCCCAAGATGAACATTTTGCAAAACCAGTACAGGAAAGAGCAAGAACGCCTCGGGACTTCGACGATCCTCTCCAGTGCCTCCAAGCTGTCTTGGAGGAACCAAATGAGGTCCACACCGAATGCATGGAATCAGACATCTTTGCCCTGAACGATGTGATCAGTGAACTAATGACAGGGGACCAAGGATCAGAATCGAGTGACAATATCCCCACAGGAGGATTATCACTTCTGGAGGAAGCCAGCAGGATGTTGACCCCGTCTGACACTCTGACCCGACAACATGCAGATCCGGAAAGCACGAGCCGGAGGAAGGAAGACAGCCGTGAGAATTCCTCACTGAAATCGCACCTGGGTCAATATACCCAGGCCATCATCAACACCCTCTCTGAGGTGGCCAATGTGACCCCAGTTGCATTTGTTGAGATCGAAAAGGACGGTGAAGACATCCTCAGCAGGCCAATACTGACAAAGGAGATCGTAGAGATTCGGACACAGCAGCTCCCAGAGGCATCAGAACTGAAAGGCCCTTTACATGAGAAAGTTACCACTGAAAGCACAAAATTGGACACCATGCAATCCAGCGCTGAAAAGAAGGATCAGAGAGCTGTAGTCAACCTGATGCAAGGAAACAAAGATGAAGGTCCTGAGATCCCTCAATCACTAGTGAAAGCTGTAAATGAACAACAGAGTGCCCTAGCAGAAAAGCAGGGCAACATATCACATGCCATCGGTAAACGAGACGACCATGCCAAACTAAAATTTACAAGCACTAACAAGGGCTCAGTGGAAGAGATTGTTCAACGCATCACCATTGATGAACCCAATGACAGCAATGATGTGATCCTAGTTCGAAACCAATTCAGATCCTCTTCAGAGAGCAAGGAACCTGACATCTTTGAAGTGGTCCAAGAACATGGTGATACCAAAGTGATACCCTTGAGGATAGAAAAGGATTCAAGTGGCAATGAAAAAGTAGTCTTGCATGGACTTCATGGTCAGGAAGAGGTCACCATTAAAAAGGACACACGAAGAATGGAAGAGATGAAAAACTTTATGTTTCCAGATGTCTACATCATACCCATGCAAAATGAGGAGTTGGAACATGAGGATGTCCTGGCCCAAGGTGCCACTGGGGTCAAGGCCCTTCATAAAGACCTGCCAGAACCTGAAAAAGTAGCATGCCTGGAACAACAGTCAAGTGAGAATGTGTCAATTCAACCAGGGAGTGACAAAGAGAATGAGCAAACAACACATAAGGACAGTGTGCATGCAGCACTGAGTCCTGTGGAAATAGAGAAACAGAATAAGGAGAACAATGTAACTCTTCTGGGAGCCAGGGAAGCAGAATCTAAAAAATCCTTAAAGCTACCTTCAATTCCTCTATATGAAAGCCTGGGGAAGCAGAATGTGCAGAACACTGCATCTTCAATGACAACTCATAAGATTATGATAGCACCAAGAACATCAGTCACAACAGCAAAAATCTCAGCTATGACCCATCCCAGCATGCCAATCAACACAAAGTCAACCGTAAGCGAAGGAAGCTGGAAGAATAAAAACGAGCAGCTCCAGGATGGCATTATTGCAAATCCAGTGGCAAACCAGCAAGATACGGCTGTGGAGATGGTGCCTGAGGAGCAAAACATTCAGCAACAATGGCAAAATGTCCCTTTGTTCTTCCAGGAAACCAGTCAGGAAATCCATCAGGCCAAAAATCCCATGCCACCCTTGTCCTTGCTTGAACCAAGAAAAACAAGTCAAAGTCACCCAACGATAACAAATCCTTTCATGAACTTTCTCCTTGGGAATCCCATGACTTCCTATGAGAATAATCACCTGGATAGCCAGGAAAATGATCTATTCTCAAATGAGCTGGCAGATGCAAGTCCACTTTGACCTCTCCTCGGCTGGTCCTCAATTATACGATGATGAAAATGATTCTTTGAATGAGTGCAAAGACATAAAACAAGAAAGTTTCAAAAACAAAATGCCCACACATCACTTCTTTGATATTTTCTGCCCTAATGGTTTCTATACATTTCTTCTCATGCATATCTTAAGAGCTGATGCAGTAAAATCAGCCATACCTAATTTTTCCAATAGAGATCAGATTGCCCCCAGTGGACATGGAGAGGTCCACAATATATTGATATTGGTACTTGAGGGTACCAAAAAAGCATTAAGTAACTACAAAAAAAAGCTGATTTTTTTCTGACCTTCCCTTAGGACTGTATAAATATTACACATAGAAATTGCTTTGAAGAAAAAACTTTTGCCCAGTATAAACCTCCATGAAATAATCATTCTGTATGGAAGAGCTTCAAAATGCACCCAACTCCTGTTCCATTCAAAGCCAATTATTCTTCCAAAAAGCAGGATGCACATAACAAATGCTATTCGTAGATCTAAGTTCACTTCTGAACAACGAGAATCCACATGTGATGCATATCTTTCACATTTTTAAAATGAATATCATGATCTTTGTGTGCGAAGGTCATATCTAGGCCTTTTAACATTTTCAGTTTGAGTGGAAAAACTTTGGACTACTAACTGTTATGGAGCAGGCTAGGACATATCAGCTTAATAATTCTATCAAGTAAAAAGCAGAATCATTCACTTCCTTCCAGAACTTGAAGGGGAGATATGACCTTTTTACCATCATCTTCATATGCTTACCAAATCCTGCTTTTTCGCACAAAGAAATTTGGACCAATCAAGATACAAGTTTTAGTCATTCCAGAGTTCTCCTGGCCTCATCATTGGTTTAGAGATGTGATGCTTTCACACATAATGGAGGCTATGAAAACAGAAACTTTGCTGCAATAAACCGATTTGGGTAGCCAGCAGAGATACAACCATTGTAGACAAAGGCGATATGCTGGAAACAATCTCAATGAAGATTATTTCAATCAGGTTAATATTTTTTACAGTTTGAGTGCAACCCGAATCCCAAGGCAACTTGTTAGTCTATATTTATTTGTGGAGCTCTTTATTTTCATGGTTCTTCAATTACCTATTTTAGACCCAGCCCACCTGGGTCTGAAATCTTTTCTTTTAAAAGAAAATAACCCAGACAGTTTGAAGAACATAAACTTCATTCACAGTCACCAAAAAGGTGTATAAAATGCTTGTATACCTCAACTGAATTTAAAGCTGAAACAGATCACAAGACGGCAGGTGAAGCCAAGGACTCAGACTTGGCAGAAGGTGCAGATTCGGGCTTCTTGTTCGGCCGAAGGATCGTGTGGTAGTTGGGAAACATCTTCCGAAGGAAGTCCAACTGCAGTGCCTGGGACTGCAAGGAGACCATCACCTTGGTTAGCATCATAATCATACGGACTTACACTTTCACAGGTACGAAACTGCTAATACCAAGGATGATTCTGCAATACAAAGATGAGTTAATTGCTCTTCCATTTTGTCCTCAAGTGTGTATAAAGGATCATTTCAAAGAAATGATCCTTTTCCAAAGAAGTCCCCAGGGTGAAAAATGATGGAATGAAAAAAATTCTTAAGATTAGTCCTGAAACAGTTCAGCAAAAAATCATGCATGACATAATCCATTGGAACCAAATGATTGCTTATTAATGAAAATAGTCGCATGTCGGTGACTATCTCCACGGAGAAGTGACATGGCATGTAAACAAATGGCAATATGGATCTCATATTATTGCATATAGCAAAGCAAGAACAGAAAAGAATCAACCTTGGCGGAGTTCTATAAAAGTAATGAAAGGAGCTCTAACTCAAAAGAAAGATGGCACAATGTAGTAATGTCAACAAAAAAGAGCACATGGCATTAATGAAGCCTCATGTTTCCTTTTCTTTCTTCATGATACATTCAAATTGAAACTGTGCCAAGTGTTTTAGTGCAGACTGTTCATTCACTAACCAAACAATCATGCATTTAAAATGCCATTATTTTGACTTTTCTGGTATTCCTCTAATTCCCATCTTTTCAACATCCATTGGCATTACTTGTGAGCAGAATCTCACCTCAGCCACCTCTGATGTCATTTTCTTTCTTATGGGAAAAATTCCAAGTCAATCTAAATCAAACAATAATATACTGTCAGTCTCTTTGTTGCATTTCACTATGGTACTATAATAGAAATTAAAAGTAACTGCAGTTTCAGAAAAAAAGTGTTTTCTATCAGCATTTTGAAGTTGTCATGAAGAATTTCTTGCAGTTCTAACTCCAATAGCTAACATGTAAGACATTTCTGGCATTGCACTGTAACTCACACTGTCATCAGGCATATAACTAAAAAATACATTTTACTGAACCAGTATATATTTTTCTACATGCAAGCCATAAGAGTAGCACTTTTTCCAAGGCTATAGGCACTGCTTGTCATCACACAGGCGAAAATTGGCAAATTCATAGAAAATGTATTTCTCTTTATGATACTGACAATTGTATCCTCAAACCTTAAACAGTTTGCACATTTAAAAAATGCTAAGTCTATGCTTCCTCGAGTCACAACATATAATGCATTCCATAAACAAGTGACATACTGTGAATTTCTCAGTGTGCAGTCTCCTTGCTCCACTCGATCCATAGACAACAGTCTTCTCGGGTAAGGTCTCCTTACCCGTCAGACGATTCATTGCACTGATGATGCAACCATTGGTCAGCTCTATGCCATAGCCAAGGTGAGCTGAAATATCAAAATAATTGATACAATGGAGCAGTGATCCCAAAAGATAAAATTGTATTAAAGAAATCAAAAACACTCATGGGTTGGAAATGCAAAGGAAAATTCAGAACTGAGATAAATTGTACAGCTACTTGGTTTCTCACAGGAAAACTCTCACCAAAAACCTTACTTGTATCTATGTAATTATGAGCACAGAACAGACCTTTGGGCTCAATAACATTGTAGTCACCTATCTTCATGGCTTCAATATGGGCATCCACCTCGAAGACATTGTTGGAGCCGATTGTCATCACATGCTGACCCTCACCCCTTTCCCTTGAAGTGATCAGTCACAAAAAACCTTAAATTTTAAATTTCGATTTTCTTTTGCACTTCATGACAGGATTCTCTCTCACTCATTGAGAATGGTGACCCTTTCCTCAATGATGTTGCAGTCTCCAATGACAATGGGACCGCCCTTGGCGATGATGCGAGCTCCAGGGTGCACGATCGTGTGACTCCCGATCGTGATGTCTCCTTGTAGGTCGCACTTTGAATAGACCACTGCCCCAGGTGCAATCTTGACTGTGGTCATTCCTAAGAAAACCATCCATGCATTGAAAGTAACAGGCAGTAAGTCAATATACCAAATCTTATGTCACTTCTCCTTCAACTCTAAAATCTAAAAGTATGCACATACTTCTCTCATTAGCATGAGCCATCAATTAATGAAAGGGAAGTGAGAGAAATATTCATCAAGAGGTATTCACTAAATTTAAACTTAGCTTGGCATAGCTTAGCCTATAAACCTTAAGCTGTCCTGACAGATTCACCTTTCAAATCTTTAAATTCCCCAAGTTTCACACATCACTTTACACCTGAAATATGCATTCATGTTAGCATCACTAAAAACATTCCATTCCTCTTTCTCTAATAAAATCTGTTGATTCATTGCCAAACATTTAATTATCACTGTAAATGTATGGTTTATATACACATTCTTACCAGAAGTGAATCACTGGGTCTAAAATGAAAATATTCACATCTTACATCAATACATTATTACAACTGATAATGATCGTAGAAAAAAGATAAGCAGATTACATAATTTGCAGCTATGCACAAGATAATGAGAAGGTGCTTGGTATAAAATACTTCCTTTTAAACCACTCATTGATGTCCTACCTATAAACTTGAGTGATACACCATTAACAGTATAAGTCAATCACTTCTTTCTCTAGAGTAATTTCAATTAAAGAACAATGCCATGTCATGCAACTGCACAAAAAAAATTGACCACAAATGTCAGACTTTTCACCCTCATGGACTTCTCAGTATTCTGAAAGTATGGCAAAATGTTTCACTGCATATGTGGAACAAAGTCGAAATATCTGGTGGAGTTCCCACCTGCTCCATCTTCCCATGAAGAGGATCCACCAATATAATAGCAAAATGAAAAAATTCCTTCCACAAAACCCAAACTCAGTACATAACATAGACTATAATTTCCATGATTCACCACTGATTCCAGAAAAATTAATGAGGCTTTGGCACATGGCCATCAACATAGAAGTTACGAGTGGCTTGGGGGAGTTCAAGTTCCATTCCTTCAAGTTCCTTGGTCAGAATGATCTGACATCCGAGGCGAGAGTTCACCCTCAGGAATGAAGCAAGGTCCAGGAGATCATCCTCGGCATCTTTTGGCTCAGGCAGCTTCTCGTAGTGCTCCGCATCAACGTACACGTGGCATGTGGAGCAGGCAAGGGATGCCTCACAGGCTCCTTCCATTTCGATATTGTGACGATGTGCCAGATAGAGGACATTGTCACCAACTTTGCCCTTGACAGGGATTCTCCTGCCATCCTTCGTGATGTAAGTGACATTCACAACTTCGTCCTCGGATTTTGGATCCTGCCACTCATATTCACCATGGCACAGGACGTATGATGTGCTGAACATTCTACACTTATGTGACAGGTCACATGCAGCCTTTGAGGGCATCATCAGCATGCACCTCAAACTTCTGAGCAAAAACAGCATGGCTTTCAGAAGAACTTCACTCCTTCCTCTGCTATGATCTCAGCCTGACGCCTGGCTTCCAGGGTTTTCAATGCTTTGATCAGAACATCATTGTGGAGTCCATGGAACTCCTCACCAGCAGTGTCATCACCCTGAGCGAGTTCAAAGAGTGTGCAAACTGAATTAGTCAGGCCCTTGTCCTGCACCCACTTGTAAATAAGCTTCCCCCACTCCTCTGGGGTTTTCCAATACACATAGCACCGTCTCTTCTGCTTGTCTATCCACTCAATGTTCCCTGTCTTCTGGAGTCCATCCAGGACAACAGAGACTCCCTCAAAGCCCAACTTGCGATTCAATTCTCTGTTTTGGAAGAGAGGAGAGGACAGAGCCTCATTCACATCGAGGAGGTATATTTTCTGGTGCCTACAGTAATCTAGGACCAGGTGGCGCCACGCATCCAGTTGTTTCTCACGAGTTGCCGCATTTGGCTGAATGGTGAAGAAAGGGGGGAAAGTGTACTGCCATGGCCAGTCAAATGTCATGACTTCTACTCATAATATCATGGACCTGAAAGAAACTTTCAAACTTTATACTGAAGAAAATTCCTTCCAAGCATAGGCAAGGTAATGAAAACCTTTCCTAAGAAATTTTATCTGTTCAGGAGTGTAAATTTTCAAGATACTTTCACCAAGCTCTCCCATCTTCAGATTTGGAGAAATAAATACATAATGCAATTGCTCCAATGACAAAGACATATAAAACTTTGCAGTAATCTTTACATGAACAGATCTTTTCTGCTTTAAAGCTAAAATATTCATCATGACACTGAGAAGGGGAGAATGGATCCCCTTTCCTTCACCTTCCCAAATGCATTATGGATTAGCCTAGACTACCCTGCTTAGATCCTCTGTTCTTTTGCCAAGTGCACAATAAAGGCTTCTCCAAGAACTACTGGGCTCTTCATATCATGATGCATGCAAGCCCTTGATATTCTCAACAGCAGCCCATTGAATCTACACTTGATGAAGGCTAAACAAACACCATGACAATATTGGTTGTGCAGTCAAAATCTCGCTAGCCAAGGCTAATACAGCCTCAAGGAAACCTAATAAAAATTATGGAAAATTTTGTAACTCTAATGTTCCCCAAATTTGGGGTATTCCTACTCTCAGTTTTTCACTTGACTCCTGCACTCATTCATGAGGAACATCCCATGCATAGGTATCCAAGTCAAGTGAAAATGTGTCCAATTTAAGTGAGAAAAAAAAAACTAACAAGGATGCTCATACACAAGGTCCCATGCATGAGAGTCCCAAGTAATGGGAAAAGCACTGTAGCTTCTACATGTGCAACAAAAATGGGAACGTGGGAATTCATTGCAGCTATAAGCCATAAGAGAATTTCCTCAAAGCTAGCCAAAATTCTCCTCAACAGGTTTTACCAGCCCTTCAAGAGCCATGCTTAAAATCCTACTCCGTGGAGAAGCCCGGCCCTTCTCAAACAAGCGCGAAGAATGAACTTGAAAATGTGTCATCCTGTACTCATTTCCGAACTAGGCCTACAATCGAACAATGTTTCAAGTCACAAAGAGTAAATCTAGCACGTTTTCTGGCAGCGTAAGTACAAAACGGAAACACGCAATGACTCGCAGCGACTGCACGACCGAACCGGAGGGATGGGCGGCGCCATGACTTAGTACTTCTTGCGTTCGCTAGATGACGCGGCGATCGTCCGAGTGAGATATCAAAGAGGAGGGACGGTGATCTCGGGGTGGGCTTCGCTGAAACCGACGCCCTGTGCAAAAATGCTCACGATGGCAAAAGAAGAAAGCCACCACAAAAAGTGCGACAGAAGAACTCTCCTGAGATATCCATCCCTCGCCCAATAATGAGTACTGGAGTGCATTTGATTCGCAGTTCCTGAAACTGTGCAGATATTTATCTGGATATGGGAATATCTCAAGTAAATATCGCTTTGGGGAATCGTCGGGCTCATGACAGCTTCACTGAAAATATTTTCCCTTGCAAGTTTTGCGTGCAGTTTTTTTTGTGCCTTTTTTGCCCCTGATGAGTCGTTTTCAACCAGTGTCAGAAACAAGGAAATGAGCAATAATTTGTTTTCGTATATTGTAATCAGATCAACATTAAACACATAACAAAGTAAGTAACCAACACACGACATGGTACAATTAGCATTTCTCTCCACCACGTTAGCCGCATGAAAAAATATAAACATTTTGAGCATTTGAACATTTCCCTGTCAGGGAAGACCGAAAGCAGACGAGCGGACGCGACAGCCACGACGGTCCGATCTGAACTGATCCTGGATCCTCCACTCTCTCCCCTTCTCCCCCTTCCCCCGCGTCCTCCAGCGCCTTCTCTCGCATTGGCTACTTCTCGCGTGTACTCGGCAAGTATCGGGATGTCAGATCCTTCGTCAGATCCTGTAAGTCACCCTTTCGAGTCTGACCGCTTGGTTTTCTGTGTTTTCGTAGTTGAAGCGAGGCAGCAGGAATTCAACGCATTTTGGCGCAAGTTTTGCGTTTATTACAAGGAAAACCGTTCGACGGTATCAAAAGATAGAGCACAGATGAAAGATCCACGACGGATGAAGGCCCGAGAGGATCCATCAGACATCTCCCGGAACTGCAAGAGATTCGCAAAGTTCGAGAATGAGAAGAGAATCCGTCTCTCGGTTCTCACAATTTGGCACCTTTTTTGGCAAAATGACCAGAAAGTCATTCGCGTGGAGCCCTGATGAGCTGGGAACTGTGTTTCGGCTCGAATTTAGAGGGAGATGAAGCCGAATCAGAGCTTTTCTGAATCGTTTTCGCTCAAAAAAATTTCTTTGGGAAATTTCGAAAACTTTAGACAGATTCGAAGGCCAAAAACTTTCATTAAAAATTTCGAACCATGGGAAATATGAAAAAAACACACACACATATGCATATTAAACAGCTACAGTATTTCAACTCCCTTACGAAAATGTATTATAGGATTCCTATATATTCCTATAAGAATCCTATAGGTTCCTATATGCCCCATAGAGTTTAGTTCGGGACCTATAGAGTCCCCTATAGAACCTATCCCCTTCCCCCCCCCCCCCCCCCCCCCCTCCCTCCCCCTCCCCAATGAAAGGGCGTGGACTCACCGCACAGTCCATTCCCATAATCCTGGAATCCCCTGTTGCACACGCACTCTGAGTCGATGCACGCCGCGTGACTCACGCACTCCTCCGCCACCGTGCATTCCCCTTCGACTGGTGTCTCTGCCAAAGAGTGCCATTTAGAACCAATCTCGTGATCACATGTTTTTAGAAATCGATGAAAATGTTCAATTTGCAAATATCATAATTGCCAAGCTGCGGAAAGCTTTCGCACTTTTTTGCAAGGTAAGATCCCATTTATATATTTTATTCATTTTCAAAAAATTATTGACAATTACTATTTATTTTATTAAGCTTATTTTTTTAAATATAATTTAAAATTCCTTGTGACCTGCAAATCAGGATCTTAGAACACGAATTGGCATGGGATTCGGCATGCCAATGTGCCTCGTCGAACTCACTGCAGAGACCAGTCGAGACGTCTTCGATGAATCCCTCTTGGCATTCGCAAAACGGCGGGTAAATCCCGATGCAATCAGCGTTGGAGACGCATTCGGTTTCGAAGCAGTCGCCGCCGACTTCGACCTCTGCCAAAAATGGAAAATTCCCGATTCCGTAAAATTTGTAAACAATGAATGAAATTAAAATAATTTGAAACGTACTGTAAAATAGGAAATAATAATTCATGAATAATAAATTCTTAATCTTATTCTTATTCTGTGCTTATGACGATGTGTCACAGATTCGAGCTGGAATAAAATGATTTTATTTTCCCAGCGGGACAAAACAGTCGTTGGAACCAAGATGAGTCTTATTTTCCTTCGCATCGGGTTAACGCCCTGCCCTGAACCCTTGGCCCGAGGGGAAGTGAAGGTCGTTGCAACAACAATTATTATCTAGTAGTTGGTCCGGTTCTATGCCAGTTGGCCAGATTCTCTGCCAATTGCCCTTTTTACCGACCAGAGAATCTATGGGAATGTGTCAAGGTGAGGACTTAACTCAAATCCAATCAATCTCAATTTCCTGAAACAGGAATACTCGTCGAGCAAATGTTCCTGACTCTCGAGGTAGCTGATCACACGTCAATCCCATAAATTGCCTCAATAAATGATCAAGGAACTAATGAAAGGGAACTCCCTCCATTATACGAACAGACGAACGACGCGCCCTTTAAACCCTTTAAAAGTCCCACGTGACCTCCATCGGTCAGAGCGTCCTCCACTCACTGCAGCCGCCGGCGTCGTCCGCGTAGCCGTCCATGCACTCGCAGCGCCCGTTTCCCATGCATTCCATGTTGGGGTCGCCCAGGGCGCAGGGGTCTGGGTACTCCTCGGGGTCGCAGGGGTCGCCGGGGGTCGCCAAGGCTGGGAACGGCGAACGGGTGGTGTTTAATCTGAAGGGATCGTCGCAGGCGCCAGAAAATATATGGATGAACGAAGCGCCTCATTTGATCATTCTTAATCAGCGACTCATTCATTGACAAACAAAAATAAAATTAAAACAATCTGCATTAAAAGTCGAGTCTTTGGACTTTTTGGACTATTATTTGGACTTTTAAAGTCCAAATAATAAATACCAATGGAGAGCACGAGACGCTTGTACACATTTACGATTATTCAGACATCTGGTCAGGATTACGCGCTAGATTAAATCCACGATCAAGAAGTACAAAGAACGAGGTCGGGCGAATGAGCTCGAGACTTTTATCAACACGCGCGTGCGACGTGACCCGTCGACACACACACACTCACGCGCACGCCCGCAGATGCACTGGGCGATGGCGAACGACGCAAGGACGGCAGACGGGATCCCCATTTCGCAAGGCGAAAAGGATGTCGATTCTCTGGTGCAAATTCGTCCGGCGGTTCTCACCTGGCCAAATGATCAGGACTAAACTGATGCTTTGGACCAATTTATTTTTATCTCATATTGCTCGCTATCTCGTGTTTCGTCATTTTTTTTTATATCTTTGTTTACCAGAATAGAGTACGAGGTCTCATTCGCCTTATTTTATTACCTTCTGGATTACGGTATCAGTAGATATATACAGGGTGGGCCAAAAAAAAAACCGCCCCAAATTTGAAGCTTAATAACTTGGACCCCGTTGGGCCAATATCAGTTTTTAAAACAGACAAATGAGGCTTCTTCAATTTTCTTTCGAATGATATATAATTTTGGGGGGTTTGCTTCAGAGAAATTGCAGTCATTACAGTTTAAAAAAAAAAAGGGACGAAACAGCTGAAAACAGCTGTTTCGTCACTTTTTTTTTTAAAACTTAATAACTTTTTAATAACGGCCATTTCTCTGAAGCGAACCCCCCAAAATTATATATCATTCGAAAGAAAATTGAACAAGCTTCATTTTTTTTTTAAATTGATGTTAGCCCAATGGGGCCCAAGTTATTAAACTTCAAATTTGGAGCGGTTTTTTTTGGCCCACCCTGTCACACACCCTCCAAGGTTTTCGAGATCGCATCCATCGGTGGGGAAAGGAAGGAGATAGAAATGGAAACGGGGATGAACCGACACTGTGGGAAAATGTTCCAATAATGTTTTGGCTTACTTGTCTGAAAATCTTGTCTGAAAAGGTCCCACGAGGCGGAAGAAATCCATCGCCGTGTCCTTCGTCCAAGCTTTGCCCAAATTTTTGTCCGAAACGAGAGAACCCGGAATATTTGATGCCCCTCGTGAATCAATGTCCGCGCAAATTTTTGCCAAGCCCTTACAGTAAATCAGCCTGCAATATATTCTTTGCCTTTTGCCTCGCTCGATTTCTCGAAACCTCAACCATCACCTCTTAAGAGTTGCTTCAAATAAATTCAGCACTTCATTGGCAGCACGTTTCTGTACTGAGTTCTCGTTGCCCAGACAGGCAAACAATGGCTGCTCGCCAGGAAATAAAACTTCTGCTGGAATCGATCCATGACGACCGAATAATTTCCGCAGGGGAAACTACTTTTACATCCGGCATCTCTGCGTAAAGGGAGCAGACGCGACAGCCACGACGGTCCGATCTGAACTGATCCTGGATCCTCCGCTCTCTCCCCTTCTCCCCCTTCCCCCCACATCCTCCAGCGCCTTCTCTCGCATTGGCTACTGCTCGCGTGTACTCGGCAAGTATCGGGATGTCAGATCCTTCGTGCCTTTGCTTCCATCTAGCGATGCCATCGATCCTCAGCGGCCGAGTAGGGTATCTTAGTTACCTTTATGAAAACACCGCTCCGGGATACATGCAGATTTCATGCTTCACGAAATAGTTTAAACCAGACGTGCTTGCAACGCATTCACCCCACGTGCGTGCTACACTTCCGCGTTTTTCGCAAAGTCGAATTTCGCTCATTCCTCCTCCATGCTCTCCGTCAGGTGAGAGCATCGACTTCCATATTGCTTGGGTGAAATTTTCGCCAACATATGGTGCACCTCATAAATCTCGATACGTCATGAAGGAGTTCTGTCTTCAGTTTAGGATCTATTGGGCCCACCCGCATGTCAAGAAAAAATGGTGATTTGTTTCGATATCTTGATTTGGGTGTTTGCATAAAAATTAGAGAAGAAAGTTATTGTCACTCTTAAATCTTCAATGGCGCTTCAACGTGTTCTGTAAGGCGCATCACTCCCTATTTGCTGTGAACCTGAAGCGAGTCTATTTTAATTCCATGCCCTGTATGGTACTTGGTAAATGCAAAGTATTTAGATTTTATGTATTAGCAAAGGTCTCAGACACGAGGGGTGCTTTCAGGGAAAAATATGCTTTTCTATACTGAAGAAAAACGAGACATAAAAGCTCTATCTAGCGGCAGGGAGGAAAACCTCTTTTTTTCGTAGAGGTTGGGCGATGCTTCTCTAATATCGACCCGATATTGAAGGCGCCATACACCTTCATATCTATTTTTTTAATTATTCATAATTGTTTAATACACGAAGATACGCGAAAGCCAAAGACACTAGCAACGCCGTGTGGTATTTGGGGTCTCCGTCTGCCGGGATACCTCCTTAAACCGATCTATCCAGGAATTCAAACGCCTGAGTTGTCCGTGGGAAAAGATCGGGTATTGGGTGAAAAATCCAGGCGAAAAAAAAATTCCAATGGCACCAGGGCGAGAATCTCTGAATCGGCGCTTAGGCGCCATCTCGCGCCGATTGGTAGAACCTATTTGAATGTGGATGTTTCAACATTTCAACCTTTTGCCAACGTTGGCACAACGTTGTTGTGCCAAATTGGGGGGGGGGGGGGTTGTAAGACCGGTCCTGATATTGCAAAAAAAAATGGGAGAGCTACAAAATGACTCGAATGTTCGAGTTCTTTCTGGTGCCGAAAATATGTCTAAAGAGGAGGAAAATCCGGCGCAAATTGCTGAAACCTGCTGAACGCGCCCGGGCCTGACCTGGAATGAAAAAAAATCAGTTCGACGATCCTTTATATGGAACGATCCCGCTTTTATGGAACGATTCTTTTCTTTCCATTCATTGTTTTACAAAAATTTAATGCAGGGAGTGTTGTGATCTTCCCAAAAAGTTAGATAACCGCTTATAACCGCTGGTTCTCTAACCGCTTGTCAGTGATAAACTTGTCATAACATGATTGCACTCGATTGAGACGAAAACAAACTCGAGAGCAAATCGCTCGATGTTCCTCTTCATCTTCGGTATTTGCGAATCGTTGTGGAAGGGCGCTGACGCGGATCCGCCATTAAAATTCATGGGATCACCGGCTCATGCCGGAATAAAGTCATCAGAATGTCATCGAATGCAAATAGGAGGCATTGTTAAGCGTGCACGGAGCGATGCGATCGATCGGGGGAGAGAGGCTGGGGGCCTCAGTCGGTGGACCGTCGGTGGGACGTCGGTGGGCCGTCGGTGGGTTGGGAGTGCGGGCGATGGTCTCCGTCGGGAATTACGCGAGGTGAGACGCCGGTTTCTTGTCGGTTTGTTGGAGACGCCCGTCAGATGGTTAGTCGTCGCGTCGATTCGACGAGGCGATTTCGTGGAATTTCGGGTGAAATTTCTCAGATGCTGAATTTCCCACAAAGTACTGCAAGAATCCTGTAAATGCTCCACGGGGTCGCATTACCTTTTCCTGCGCGCAAATAGAGTTACATGTAACCGTGCGAAGTTCCTTTAATTTGACGCTCTCACGAACGCCCTGGATAAAATTGCAGGGCGTAGTTCTCGCTCTGGCGCAATTATGTCGCTGGAGTAGATGTCACCGCCGAATGTAAAAAATGACCCGCTGAATTCTATGCAACTTCACAATTAGCATGATCACGTCACAGAACAGGCAGCCCCACGAAAATGGAAACGGAATCTGATTTGAGGCCACATGGCCGCTGGGTCGAAAGACCCCAGCTCATCGCATGATGCAAATCGCGAGGCAGCCTTGACGAGTTTCAACCAGGTTCCAACGCGGAACCCAGGCATATTGAGACGTTGCACGAGCCAAGTGGAAAATTAAAAGCCCAGTGGATTAAATTCCGAACGAATTTGTGGGACTAACGGAATTTCGAGAAGAGTAAAAAGAAAATTAAGGGAATTCTTGCACTTCCTCATTTCCAAACCCAGTTAAACTATCAATAGCAATGTAATTTCAGATTTTTAAATTTCACTGGGACCATAGGCAACTGCAATGTATCAACGCTTTATTTTTTACTCTGAAACTTGGAAATGGCGTATTTTTCTCCGAATATCCAGGAGTTCGGTCATAACGACATAACTCAGACCGAACACAAAATATCTAAGGAAGAACGAGGTGATGGAACCAATCTTAACGTATACAGTACGTACTACGTTTTCTTGGGATGTCATTGATATTTGTAAGTCATCGCCAATTTTCATAAATAATCTCACAAACTTTTTGATTAGTTTCCAGTACTTGAAAAATCCATGTAGCTTATCTCGATAAGGAAATAGCTGCGACAGAAACAGAATCTCGTCTAATATTCGCAACCGGTTCCATATGTCCTGGGCAGACCGCTACGATGGAAACTGTACTTGGCCGTTCCGCCTGCTGTTGTCGTTCTGTACCTCACGAACATCTTCTTCTTGGACACGCGCATTTCCCTCCCAGAAGTCTGGTTGCATCCGAAGATCCTGGCCGGGACAGGGAAGGACCCCCGACCGGTTGTGGTCACAGCTGCATGTGGAGTGGAGGCCACGAAGGAACTCCTCTTCTCCCTGCGATCCCTCATCCTCTTCTCTCATGTCCCCTTCCGATACGTCGTCATCGCCGACGGCGCTGCAGCCAAGTTACTCTACCAGGTGCAGAGAACGATTCCTCCGCACGTTCAGCTTGAGATCGTGGGGATATACAAACGCATTCCTTGGAAGTATCGTCCCTGGCATGATGCATTCCACGAACCCTGTACATGGCAGAGGCTGTACCTGCCCGAAATCCTCCCATATGACAGCCTCGTTCTTTACGTCGACGTTGATATTTTGTTCTTCGAGGGAATAGAAGACGTTTGGCAGGTTTTCAGTCAATTGGGGCCTGAGCATGTGATCGGCATCACCATGGAACACGAGGAGAATTCCACAACTTCCATTTATCAAACTTCGAACGGTCACGTGCCCCATTACGGGAAGACGGGAATTCAGGCAGGGATTTTCGTGATGGATCTAGAGAAGGTGAGATCTTGGGGTTGGAAGGAGGAGATTCAGGGGATCCTCGAAGAAAGGCAAGGTGACATCATTTACAAGGATCAGGATGTCCTCAACATTTACGGACATCGTCATCAGGAAGCCATCAAGATTTTGCCTTGTCGATGGAATTTCAGGTTAGATGAGATTAACGTTCTCAATTCGTGCGTGTAAATGTTAAGTCAAGGCGTAAACTAAGTTACTAATATATGATTTTCGTCCATTTCGCCAATTATTGGTTGACGTTAAATACGTCATACTGACATGTTTCAATTAACATGTACGTTCTCCAAACCCTTTTTTAGGCAGGAACATTGTCGCTACGAAGGAAATCGCTGCCTGTCGGCATACAAGGAAGGAATCGGGATCCTCCACGGCGCCGGCGGGTCCTTCGAAACCTGGGAGTTCCCGGGGATCCGAAAGGCCGCGGACGTCTTCCGGGAATGGGATTTCCTGAAGAAGAACGCTTCCGGCCTCGCGGACGAGATGGAGCGAAGAATCGCGATGCTGGACGACGACCCCAGCTGCGATCCCTTGCGGCTTCGATTCTTCTCCAAGACCTTCAGGAAGCAATCGTCGCAGAGTTTCGTGACGTCATAGGCAGGGATTTCCATTGATTCTTGAAGTTTGCTCAGTTGAGTACCCTCGGGATTTTGCCTGCACATTTATTGACTGCACGGGCCTTAGAGTGCTTCCCTAACATAATAAAATATTCTCCATGCCCTGGAATTATTTGCTATCGGAAGAGGTCAATCGATGAATTGATGATGGGATTATCTCGCATCGACTATTACAGTTTTGAAAATTGAAATACCGGAATAATTAGCAACTCTAATATGTGACGTAAAACATTTGAAAATGTGAAAGGGAACGATTCAATGAAATATAGGAGGTTCGAGAAGTGATGACCACTCTAGACATACGACGTATGTGTGACATACATATGTGGGAAATTGGATCGGGTAAGAGCCAACACATGACTTGGAGGAATCGATGGTTTATTCATGTCTGCCGCCCCATTATTTGCATGGATTGCAAGTTAATGAGGAGATTTGCAGGGATTGGGATCGCACGGATCAGGAGGCAAACTCGGGGAAATTGATTTTGCATGTGATTAACGCGGAGATCGATGAGGATGAGGGCGTCCTCCTCTGGGACAGCCGATTGCGGAGGCTTGAATGCGGATGAAAGCCATTTCAATCTCAATTGCAAATTATTCAATTCCTTAATCCTGAGGATTTTCCCGTGTCTTCGCTTTCCTTAAATGCCGATATGTCTCTAAATGTCCCTAAATGCCTAAATCCCTTAAATTGGCCCTAAATACCGAAATGCCTAAATGCCCTTAAATGGCCCTAAATACCAATATGTCCATGAAAGTGGCATGATTCGAAGATGCAAGCGCCGCCAGACCCCAGCCAACAGCGTTGCCCCGCCAGCGCGTATCCGGGCGACGCCATCGATCCTCCGTGGCTTTCGCCTCGCTCCGGCCCATTCCGGGCGACGAGGCAAGGGGGAAGGGGGGATCCTCCGTTTCGCTCCTCGCTCCATGAGGTGAGATTTGGGTGTGTGATGGTGTGGGGGGGGGGGGCGAGGGCTGGTGTAATTTTGTGCAATTTTTATGTCTGTGGAAGGGCGATTAGGGATAATTGAGAATGAGTGAGTGCTTGCTAATTCGTTTTAAGTGGCACCGTCTGGGGCGGTATATATCTTTCTCCCTTTCATCATCCGTGAATATTTAATTAAATCAATAATTGAATCAGTTTAGCCGGAACGACACGACTTCAATGTCTTTCCCTGCGATGATACAGCGTTATTGTTATTGTTGTTGCTATTGCTAGGGTTAGTGCTTAGTGATGGCATTATTGCTGATGTCGATTCGTGGCAACACGCACAGCAACACGTCAGAAAAGTGGCGGAAAAACGGACGAAGCCAGACATAGTGCATCAGTGCAGTGAGGTCATTTCGTCGCCTTTTCCGCCTCTCCTTCTGAATCCTGCTCAATTCCTCACGTAATTGCTCGCTATTGGGCAAACGTTTCTCCTGAACGCAAAATTCGATGTTTCTTCGCAATCCGCGCGCTCGCGTCAGTGCAGAAAAGGCATTTTCGCGAAAGCGAAGGCGAATCTGGCAATGTGGCATATCGAGATCCAGCCGAGCGGAAATACCACGTGGCCCACAGAGGCGCCATGTCTGCTCGCGAGCAGACGACAACGCACCGGTCAGGGTTGCCAGATTCGGTCGTTTGAGTCTGGGAGGCTAGTCGTTGATTTCTGGGCGGTCGTTCGAGTTTCCCGGCTAGAAACGAACTCTAATGAATCGTTCTTGCATTCGCAGTTATTCTAATTATTTTCCACAACGAATGAGAATTCTTCGTGGCATGCAATTTTGGGCAATGCGGTGACGTCACGCGTGCAACCCTGCCCGGTTTCACGTCTGCCCCTTCGGCGATCAGCGCGTCCTCCACTCCCGTCTCCGACCTCCTAAGAACGAGTGACTCTATAGGCCTAGTGCAGATTCTCGATTCGCTTCGAAATGCGTGAAGTTCGGAGTCCAGAGTTGGGAATGCAAGGCAGCACAAGGGAATAACGGAAACGGCAGGCGACTAAAATTCAGGAAATCCGCCTTTTACAGGATTCTACCTTAAGGAGAGGAGCATCATAATCCGGGGGGGGGGGGGAGGAACTGTACTGACATCTGCATGAATTCAGTGAGATTTTTTCCCATCTTCTATTTTTCAGTACCATTTCCCGTGGAAATCATTCACAGTTGACGTCGAATCGTTGAGGTTGAGTCGCGCCGTCACCGGTTTTCTTTCAGGTCGCGGGTCGACTCCCCAGTCTGCAATGTGCGGCCACAGATCGGCGGAAAGTTCTGCACATGGTTTTTAGGCTTAATGATACGTATCATTTTGATCACGAGATGCAAAACCCAAAAATGACCGCGAAGATCCAATGAGCCGAAGTCGCTCTTATAATTTTTTTTTGTGGAAAAGTTCTTCTCTGTGTGCGTCTCCCCCTTTTCGCACAGTACCGAAAAGTACCTTCCCTCTTTCCCTGGAATCGTCCCTCACAGGAGCGTTTAGTACCTCACCGTATGTCTCGCCTAATCTCATTATGGGGAAATCAATAAACGCGGGCACTTCATCATTTATTATCCCCATATTCGAGAAATATTCATGGAGCCCAGGCCATCAACAAGCTCGTATTCCCTATAAGAATCCTTTACTTGTTTACGCGTTTACGATTCCTCGTTCTGAGGTCGGAATTGCACATGCATTCACCTCGTTCGTACTGTGCTTGATACGCAATCATGGCTCTGCTTGTCGCGGACTCGCCATGCACACGAGCCACACTTGCCCACAGATGTACAGAAAACGCGGACATTAGGTTATGCCCTGTGCATATTGCACTCGTGGCGCACGTGTGGCACGTGGGCCAAGCTTGGAACAGCTGACTGTGCGGAGATATACGCACTTGGCCCGGGGATGAATTGCTAGGTGGATTGGGTCTAAATTCACTTCGGTCCCAATCGTCCCGAATGTTGTCAAAGTGTCAAACTGTCGTCAAATGTTCGTCAAAGTGTTATTCAAATGGATCTGTTGGCTACATTCAACACTTGACAATATCCATGGAACCCAAGGAATACGCGAAATCCCCCTCCGTCGTGGCGAAGGACGGTTCCAAATTAATTTGCTTCGACCTAATCCGAGGCAATGCAATAATCCCCGGAGATATAAGCTTTTAAGCCGATCAGAGCAAATCCAAGAATCCTCACAAACGAACACACAGAAGCCGATCGTCAATGGCCAAAGGCAATTTCGAGAACATTGCACGAACGCGTCCTCCTCGATTTCAAGAGCTTCATGAAATCCTAAAAGCAGTCGAGATCGCATAATGAAATAAAAAGTTAGAAGCGTCCATTCATCTAGGCGAAATGTACTTCAGAGAAACCTCGACCAATGGAGTTTTCAGAGGTCACTTAGATGAGCTTACAATGAATTACACTTAGATGAGCTTACAGTTAGGTGGGGCTTAGATGGGCCTGCCGTTTTAGCTCTTTTCTGGTCATATTCACTTGATTACCTTTTTATTTTTCTTTTAACTGAATTTCCCCGAACTGGACTGAAATTCATTAAATTTTATATGTTTCAGTATTTGAACCGCTATTGAATGAGTCTTCACATCCCAGCCGAATCACTTTGATCCATCTTCACAGTATTCTCATGCCTGGTCATTTGGCCGGCGCCGGGCAAGTGTGATATCAAAATGATAAAAAAAAGGTGCATAGCGGAATTTAATCGACGCTCTGTCGTAGACATACAGAGCAGCCGAGCAGTTTCGAGTCCTCCTTGCGCATGACGTCATTCTTCTCTCTCTGCCTTTTGCAAAGGTCTGGGATTTAAACATTTGGCTTGTAATTATTGTAGGGAATCTCTAGTGAAGTGGATGGAGGGGTCTTTCAGTAACCTCCGACTTTTCGAGTTTTCTTAGGGTTCTTTTCTGAAGCTGCCGCTTCATGAAAAAAATGCACGAAAGTTTGATATTGAGGCATTTATGATATGAGTGAACATTTCTGGCTTTAAATACATTATCAGATGATGGAATCATCAATGTGCCTGATAAAGGGATTCCCTTCTGGAAATTCCGCCTCAAAGGCAGAACGGGATGAAGAAAAATAAAGAAAATTTTTAAGTTTAAAAGCTTCCAAAAACGTTACTTCCAAATGTAAATCTAGACTTTTTCTAGTCTATATCTTTGCTTAAAGGATCCACTTAAGAACATGGAATTTTTTAAATAAAAGGTTTAGAAACTTCACGAAACAAGTCCATGCTTACATCTCACGAATTCGTAGAAGAGAGACTCCTTGAATTTCCAAGGGTTGCAATTCCATTTAGGACTAATGAGAGCTAATAGATGAGATGGATGGGGAGAGAAAAACTTATCAGTATGACATTCCCAAAGGAATTCTTTTGTTCTTGGCAGGCCGTTGCGATGGAAACCATATATGGCAGTCCCGCCCACCATTGCCGTCCTGTACCTCATCTACGTCTTTTGCTTTGAGGAGCACATTTCGATCCCAGAAGTCTGGTTGCATCCGAAGATCTCGCTCAGAACAGGGAAGGACCCCCAACCGGTTGTGGTCACAGCTGCATGTGGAGTGGGGGCCACGAAGGAACTCCTCTTCTCCCTGCGATCCCTCATCCTCTTCTCTCATGTCCCCTTCCGATACGTCGTCATCGCCGACGGCGCTGCAGCCAAGTTACTCTACCAGGTGCAGAGAACGCTTCCTCCACACGTTCAGCTTGAGATCGTGGGGATATACAAACGCATTCCGTGGAAGTATCGTCCTTGGCATGATGCATTCCACGAACCCTGTACATGGCAGAGGCTGTACCTGCCCGAAATCCTTCCACATGACAGCCTCATTCTTTACGTCGACGTTGATCTTTTGTTCTTCGAGGGAATAGAAGACGTTTGGCAGGTTTTTAGTCAATTGGGACCTAAGCAAGCGATCGGCATCACCATGGAACACGAGGAGCTCTCAAAGAATTCTATATATCAAACGTCGGAGAACGGTCATGTGCCCCATTACGGGAAGACAGGAATTCAGGCAGGGATTTTCGTGATGGATCTAAAGAAGATGAGATCTTGGGGTTGGAAGGAGGAGATTCAGGGGATCCTCGAAGAAAGACAAGGCGACGTCTTTTACAAGGATCAGGATGTCCTCAACATTTACGGACATCGTCATCAGGAAGCCATCAAGATTCTGCCTTGTCGATGGAATTTCAGGTTAGATGGAATTTCAGAACTAACTTTTACAAATCCTCTACCTTAACAGACAGGTCAGTCACTTTTCATTCATTTCATGCGAAATGGCGAGGAAGAACTTTTACACCCTCTCCAACAGTTTCCTTGATACACAGCATCTCAGGATTCACTTTTCCGACTCAATTTTTTCGGTCTCTTGACCGAGTTGCAAAAGAATTGTTTTTGAAGACATAACCCTCCCAAACTACCTCAAGATTCCCAGAATTCCGGAAAATGAGTTTTCTGAAGTTTTATGTTAAGTATCAAACACCGTATGGAATTTGTCAAAGGACAAACAGATCAGACCTGTCAACTAGGTTCGAATTGAAATACGACGGAATGCAGTTTTTTTTAGGATCGCTACATCTGAACTACTGATATATGTTGGTCTTTCTTGAAATTGTGACATTACCAAATACGGTTGTCGTCAGCATATCGTCTCTCTCCGAGTGAAATGCAGCTTTTATATATATTAATTATGGCTTATTATGTCTTCCTGCACATTTTTTCGCGTTAACAAAAGCGACCATATGCATGTAGATGGTGAAGCCTCTCGCAGAGATGCTCTTCACATTCCAATTCAAACCTCTAACCTTGACTCGACAGCCATTTCACGAATAATATCTAACTCATCAAAAGTCGATGTTGACGTCGATTTTGAAAATCTCTCCCTTTTTCGTTTCACATTTTCTTTTCACCCAAAAAAGAACCTTCAAACCTGGATGCATGTGTATTTTTCTGGTTGAAACATACAATCCTTTATAGTTGAGTCCACGTATAAGATCAGACCCGGATCTCACTTGAGAGGGAATATTAATGAATTAATGAATTAATGGTATCTGTGTTTGGTCCCTCTACAAGAGGTCAGGTGTATGAGAAATCAATTGAAGGAGCTTATTGGGCTTATTATTGGCTTATTAGTGTTTCCATTGTGGTTCTCTCGATAGTACGATTGCATCATTGGCAAGGATGTTCCACGAAGTTGATGAACGGGTCAGCTAAATATCAATATCGACATTAGAAATCTGCCCATCATAATGATCCTTGCTTGAAGCATGAACTCCCTGTTCTGTCACGTCAATATTGAGGTTGATGGAGAGGCACGCATTTGAAAGGTTATTGGTGCAAAAGCGTTGTGGATATTAGAATGAAATTGACGTCATATCCACGTGTGTATTATGGATGTCTTCTCATCAGTTTCACAGATTTCAGCATACTTGTGCGAAATGGTTGGAGCGAAATAGGGTTTGACTAGATGATCCTCACCCATTCCCCAACTCTTGGCAGACGCTCATTAATGAGGTTGACATGTCTCGGCTAATATTTACGTTCTCCCTTTTTTTTTTTTTTAGACAGGAGCATTGTCGCTATAGAAACAATCGCTGCCTGTCGGCCCACAATGAGGGGATCGGGATCCTCCACGGTGCAGGGAGATCTTTCAACACCTGGGAGTTCCCGGGGATCCGAACGGCCGTGGACGTCTTCGGGGAATGGGATTTCCTGAAGAAGAACGCTTCCGGCCTCGCGGACGAGATGGAGCGAAGAATCGCGATGCTGGACGACGACCCCAGCTGCGATCCCTTGCGTCTTCGATTCTTCTCCAAGACCCTCAGGAAGCAATCGTCGCAGACTCTCGTGGCATCCGGTTTTGGGAGGTTCCATTAGGGCTGTGCGTCCCACAAGTGTCTGACGTTGGCTGCATTATGTCATCAGCTACAACACAGCGACAAAACGTGGAGCCGATTCGATTCATGGAGTCATAAACAGGGTCTCTCAAAAAGATGTATACATGATTTGAATGCGAACAGAAGTCTTTATTTACTTATTCAGTTTTATGCACTCATGCATCACACAGGTATATAATTTATTGTATCACACATCACTAAGCAATTAGGCAACTTAAAATTTTAGCATCTCCATCAGCTTGCCGGTGATATAAACATATTTTGAGACGCCTTGTAATTTGCCTTTCTAAAAGTTTTAGCAGAAAAAAGGAGCCGTAATCTTAATCCTGTGATACAAGGTATTTTGCTATTTTTCGTATTTTAAAAAGCGTGTTTCCTCAAGAATCTCGCACAAACAAGGTTTCAGTTACTAGTATTTGGCATGCAAGAAAAGAATGTCCGACGACGAAACTTATTTCAAATGATTGGATCAGATATAAAAACAGGTATATTGTATGCTCCCGCACCCCTTATTTTGTGCCAGTGTGAACATGCAACGTTGGCTTCAGGAAGTAAACTCTCTCTTGAAGGCTATTTTTTCTCTCCATCCATTGTGAACTTCAGAGAAAGTATTCGTCCTGTCCCCTCCCTTCGGATTCGAATTTAGTCTTTTCCCAGTCATATTGGGTCGCTGGAGTCTGGAAAAAATTTTGCGATTTCGTCAGACGATTCTTTGGAAAGTGAAATTGGCGAAACGTAATTGGACGCAACATATTGTTATTACATTGTATTCTGACTTATATCCTTTTTTTTTGCCAAAACAAGCATGAAATCAATAAAATGATGCAAAATAAATGTGAATCGCGAATGTATGGTCGAGTTTTCGAAAATATAAATTCTAGCATAAATTAATTGCAAAAATTAAAATTGCGAAAATTTGAGATGAACATGCCAGACAATACAATTAGGTGCAATTAGATGAGCATGAGAAGCTCAATCACACTCTGCGTTCACTCATTGCATCGTCAAATTTGCATATCAACCTTTAATCGCAATATTTTTTCATTACTATCTCGGCTATAATTAAATAACTAATTTGTTGCCATGGTTACTATTGGACTTACAATCTGAGAGTGGATTCTCCGCCTTCAGGGACTAATTCGCGAGAGAAATATACGTCAAATAATAATAATAGGTACTTGTAGGTAAAATATATTAAATAATAACTTTTACAAAGAGGCGCGAGAGGGTGCATACTTTAAGTTTTTTTTGGCCAAATTTACCTTAATTTGCTTTTTTTAAAAATCAAACTCAATATTTTTAACACTTTCAACTGAAAAATGTTCCCATTCCTCAGCCGAGTCAAGGAACGCGGCTCCTGGAACGCGGCTCCGAGGTCTTCCCAGGTGATCGGTGGGGATCAAAATGCGATTATCGGTAATTATCAGGGGAAATGATAATTGCGGACGTCGGCAGCCGCAGGCAGTCCTGATGAACTTTTGGCTTGGCATCGAGGGATCATCGATGGATTAGGATTAGGAGCTAGGGTCGCGAAAATTCTCCATCCGTTTTCATCCCTAATACGGATTTTCTTGAATATTAGTATCGCGCGGTTATTTGCACAACTTGATTTAATACGAAGTAAATAACATCATCTTCGCATGAAAAATTGGTGATTCGTCATTGTTATAATCCGTATTTGTAATCGAAAAATTAATAATGCAGGCAGGCTTGCGTCTTCGCACTCTTCCCAAAAAAAAGTTAGATAACCGCTGGTTCTCTAACCTGCCCGGTTTAAAATCCCAACTGGAATATTCCAGCTGGACCAAATATGACCATTTCCAGCTGGCAAAGAGCTGGAAAACAGTAGGTACCTGTTGTTTCTTAGCTGGAATTTTCCAATTGGAATGCAGCTGGTTTTAATAGCTGTTTCCAGCTGGAAATTTTCCAGTTGTAATTTTATAAAGAGGATCCTACAGCTGGAATGTAGCTAAATTTATAGTTGAAAATCAGCTGTTCGTGTTGATGGACCTCCGACAAAAAGATTCGCATTCAGCTGGTAATAATGGAAATGACTACTTTCCAGCTGTCACCCAGTTGGAATGGGTCCGAATTTGCAGCTGGAGTCCAGCTGGGAATTATAGCTGTTTCCAGCTGGGATTTTGAACTGGGTAGTTAAAGCTTAGGGTAGAGAACCTGGTTAGAGCTAACCGCTGGTTAGGTTTTGCCTTTATCATGCAAATCCACTCGATCGGGGATGAAAACGAAACGAAGAGCAAAATCGCTCCACGTTTGCGGATCGTTGTGTAAGCGCCTCCGTGTCGGCGCGGATCCGCCATTAAAATTCATGAGATCCGCCGGCTCATGCCAGGGAAAGTCGTCAGGATGCGATCGTGTGTGCACGGCAAACAGGAATTGTTTCGCTCCGACCGCACGTATCCGGGCGATGCGATCGATCGGGGGCGAGGAGGGAGGCCTCAGTCGCGGGCCCCGGTGGGTTGGGAGTGCTTCCCGCGATGGTCTCCTTCGGGCATTACATGAGGTGAGATGCGTTCTTATCCGTTTTCAGTTTCTTGTCAATTTCTTATCCGTTTTCAGTTTCTTGTCAGTTTCTTATCCGTTTTCAGTTTCTTGTCAGTTTCTTGTCAGTTTGTTCGGAATGATCGAGCAGATAAGTTATTGGTAATGCATGAGGGTATCGGTTAGGGACGATTTTGAGATTGGATTTTTTTTTTTTACCTCATGAGGCGAATTTAGTTAATGCCGTACCGTTAAATAAAATAGCCTCCTACCTTCGGAAGCGTCAGATTTAATCATCCATTTAAAAAATGGGATGCTTGACGCGTTTGCTCTTTTCTCCTCGATGGTCTCCGCGATGCGTCGAGCATTATTGATAAAGTTATCATTTATTGATAACGTGCCTGTTGAAATTTTAATGCTGAAATTAAATTCCATATTTCGTAATGACATTCTCAAGAAGCATTAGGCAGTAAAAGAGCTTACGTTCATACGTGCGACCAATCGGCATATGGCCAATCGGCATATGGCCAATCGGCATATAGCCAATCTTCATATCGTCAGTCGCCATATGGCCTATCGCCGTCCTGGGCTCTCATCGTATTTCCTCTAGAATTACTACTGGGAAAATCCTGTAAATGCTCCATGAGGTCGCATTTCCTTTTCATGCGCGCGAATAGTAATAACAACAATAATAATAATTTTAATTATCATAATAACATGTGACCACGCGAAGTCCCTTAAATTTGACGCTCTCATGAACGCCCAGAATCCAATTGCAGAACGTAGTTTTTGCTCCCGCGCAATTATGCCATCCTATTCATTGCCTCTGGAGTTTATGTCAAAACCAAATTCGATGGAATTACGATGTAAAAAAAAAAAGACATTCAAAATTCGAGGTAACTTTACAATTATTTTTCTCCATTCTGAGAAATTTAATTTCAGGCTCATCGCATCATGAAAATCGTGCATTATGAGACTCTCGCAGTCTTGACGAGTTTCAATCGGTTTCAGCTCACTCATGCAATCGAGGTGTATTAAGGCATTGCATAAGGCATTGCATAAGGCATTGCATAAGGTATTGCATAAGGTATTGCATGGAGCATTGAAGAAGTCAATCTAAGCTCGATGCCTGAAAGGATTCATTCCGCTCGATCTCGTCAGCTTCCTCACGCAACGAAACCGAAACGTATCCCCCCCCACCGTCGGAAATTCCTCATTTTGATAAATGGAACTCTGAGAGCGCGAAGCTGCAACACTTTCATGCATGACATAAGCCACTTGCATCCCGCTTACAGGCAGGAATTCGCCCTGAGAAAATCTAATCTTATATTCAGGGTTTTGCAATTGAGATTCATCCCGATAACGCAAACTTTATATTTTAGATAGAGAAAGCCCTTATGCTCACTCTTCCATTTCCCCCCTCCTCGCCCCCTCCTCGCCCCCTCCTCGCCCCCTCTTCGGCCCCTCTTCGGCCCCTCATCGCCCCCTCATCGCCCCCTCTTTTCCCATTTATTATCAGGCGCAACTCTAAGGACTTGGCTTTTCTGTGGGCAAGAGGCAAGTTCAAACTTTAGCCCTGTCGATTTTTGGGTTTTTGTACATGGGATGCGATGTTGCAACGGTGTCCCATCGTTTCTGGGATCTTCCTGGCACACTGTTGCACTCGATATCGTCCCGTTAACGCTTTCGCACCCTAGCGGAATTGTATCACATTAAGAAGAGCTTATATATCGGCACTTTGGGATACTAAATATTGAGAACTCTCGCGAAAATTATCACATATCAGCAAAAGAGACGATTTTGCATTATTGCACGAACTACAGACGCGTAAGAGAAAACTGGAAAATATAAGGGGGGGGGGGGAAGTAATACCTCGCCTTCATTGCATTTCCTTTCGCCCTTGGCAGGACTTTGCGATGGAAACCGTACTTGGCCGTCCCGCCTGTTGTTGTCGTTCTGTATCTCACCTACATCTTCTGCCTGGAAACACGCATTTCCCTCCCAGAAGTCTGGCTGCACCCGAAGATTCTGGCCGGGACAGGGAAGGACCCCCGACCGGTTGTGGTCACAGCTGCATGTGGAGTGGGGGCCACGAAGGAACTCCTCCTCTCCCTGCGATCCCTCATCCTCTTCTCTCACGTCCCCTTCCGATACGTCGTCATCGCCGACGAGCCCACGGCCGAGTCGCTCTACCAGGTGCAGAGAACGCTTCCTCCGCACGTAAAGCTCGAAGTCATGGGGATCTATAAGCTCATTCCGTGGAAGTATCGTCCCTGGATCGATTTCATTCAAGAGCCATGCCACTGGCAGAGGCTGTTCCTGCCCGAAATCCTCCCACACGACAGCCTCGTTCTTTACGTCGACGTCGACCTCTTGTTCTTCGCCGGGATAGAATACGTTTGGCAGGCTTTCAGCCAATTGGGACCCAAGCAAGCGATCGGCATCACCATGGAACACGAGGAGACCTCCACAAACTCCATCTATCAAACCGTCAACGCCCAACTCCCCCACTACGGAAAGACAGGCCTCCAAGCCGGAATCTACTCCATCGACCTCTCGAAGCTGAGGTCCCTGGGCTGGAAGGAGGAGGTCCAAGACATCATGGACGAGCAGCAGGGCCGCCTTTACTGGATGGACCAGGATGTCCTCAACGTCTACGGCCATCGGCATCCGGAAGCCATCAAGATTTTGCCCTGCCGATGGAATTTCAGGTCAGATCGGCGTTTCCTTCCCTTCTACAATAAAACGTAGAATCGTCTATGAAAGCCCATATAATTTTCATAAAAGTCATTTATAATAATAGGCCCATAATTTTATTTTCACGCGTCTTCATTTACGTTCTGGAATTCCATTCCTCAAATTAAAATATTAATTGAATTCTTCAAAATGGTCATCGCGCAAGACCGAAGAGCGTTTCCTGGAGAGCCTCGATATTGCTTAATTAATCACTTGTGGACGCAGTCATTTATACCCTGCTGCGTTCTTCGAGCTTTTTAAAATATTTACAAAAAATATTTATTCGTATTAGAAATCATAGATAGATAAAAATGGCCTATAATGCGAGTTTTTAGGAGTGCCTTCAAATGGTATATACTCCGTCCCCTCTCTTGGATTCCGAATTGTCGAACGACATAAATGAATCGGTTTGTTAATTAAAGCCACCTCTTAAGAAGGTCTGCATTTCTCGGCCGCCAGAAAGAACCAAGAATCCAATCGGCATTCGGCGTTGATCCTTCAGTTCGAGAAGGAATGGTCGAAAGCGGATCTCGTGGCACCCGGTGTAATTTGAGGGGAAATGGAGGAAACGAACCCGGAAGAGTTACCGGAAGAGTTTCCGGAAGGGTTTCCGGAAGAGTTTCCGGAAGGATTTCCGGAAGGGTTTCCGGAAGAGTTTCCGGAAGAGTTTCCGGAAGGGTTTCCGGAAGAGTTTCCGGAAGGATTTCCGGAAGGGTTTCCGGAAGAGTTTCCGGAAGAGTTACCGGAAGAGTTACCGGAAGAGTTTCCGGAAGAGATTTCGGACTTGCGAGGGTTCGCACATCGATATTGCCATTAATTTTTTATCTCCGCCGAATTGGGAAAAAAAAATTAACGATGATCATTGTTATCAACGCGTCATCATCCGGCCGAATAGACCAGTTTAATAAAATATGAAGCTTCGATTCCTTTCATTGCGGTGCGTGCGAGGATGGAGTTTGCCGACGAAATGGCTGCTGCCCGCATCGTTCGTTATTAAATACCGGTGCCTTTTGGAGCGTGGTTGGCCATTATTTCTGTTGGCATGCATCGTAATGGTGCCGGAATCGCCGTTGTTCGAAGGCTTGCTTGAGAGCTGAATGCGAAAAAAAAAGCTCCAATTTGGCCGGAAGGGAATTTCGTCTCTTTTTTTTCCAGCCTTTTTCAATTTCGATAAGGAGTGTTTGTCTTCCATTCCGACCAATCCCCGTCGACGCTGAATGCCTCATCGCCTTGACCCGTTCCGACGAAAACGTTTTTTTTTTTTCAGGCAGGAGCATTGTCGCTACGAGACGAATCGCTGCGAGTCGGCATACAAGGACGGGATCGGGATCCTGCACGGCGCCGGCGGGTCCTTCGAAACCTGGGAGTTCCCGGGGATCCGAACGGCCGCGGACGTCTTCCGGGAATGGGATTTCCTGAAGAAGAACGCTTCCGGCCTCGCGGACGAGATGGAGCGAAGAATCGCGATGCTGGACGAGGACTGCAGCTGCGATCCCTTGCGGCTTCGATTCTTCTCCAAGACCCTCGGGAGGCAGTCGTCGCAGTCTCTCGTGGCGTCCGCGGCGTTCGTCAGGGCCTGAGGGGGAGGGGCCTGCCGTGCCTTCGATTCTCTGCGCTTCCTGTCTCGGAATGTTTTTCCGCTGCGCTCGAGGGACTCGGGGATGAGGCGGAAAGGGAAAAGATTATGCGATGAGGAAATTCAATTTACGTAATGATGTAGCGCTTGCACCGATTGCATTAAATGCAAGTTTAAATAAATACGAATTTAGACATGAGAATCGCGGAAGGTATCGCGGATGAGGCCCAACAATAGATCGAGACCATGGAGGATCGAGACCCCGCTCCATGGAGGATCGAGACCATTTCCGACGGGAACGCGCTCCGGTTGGCGATCGATGCTTGGATCCATGTCGCCCTGCAATTATTTCACCTGCGTCGCAGGCGTGGCCGCCCGTCGGTCACCTGGCACCTGGCCATCGATGCTTTCGCATGACACCTGCAGCTGTGGACTCCATCGATCATCGGTGCCTCCCCGGTGTCTCCCCGGTGCCTCCCCCGTGACTCCCCGGTGACTCCCCGGGGAAGAGAGGGAATTATATGCGTGTTCGCCGCGTGTTCGCGACTGGCGAAAGTGGGAAATTTCTTGAGCTCGGCCGCGGCGATTTCGGAATGGTTTCGCGCAGTTTTCTGCAATTTGGCAATGATGCACCGAGTGTGGTTTTCCGTTCGTGTGAGGTTCGCGAAATGAAAATAAAGCCGCATTTTTTAAATCCCATGTATGAATTGCCCGGAATCAAACAGAACTGTCATTTTGGTCGCATTAACCCTTAAAGAAATTTAGCCTGAGGTAAAATTGGGACGGTGAAACTGAGGTAAAAAAAAAAAATAAATAAATAAGTAATTTCCCCCTTTTTTACCTGTGCTTTCAGGTAAAGGTCCCTGACCCTTCAGGTAAAGATTAGGGTAAAATGCGGTTAAATGGAGGTCAACGTTTTGTATGGGAAATAAATTGAGTCGAATTTTACTTTTCCACCATTGTCCAAGTTAAATACAGAAAATTGCGAAAATCAAGAAGCGATGTTGTCGAGAACCGATTCCAAATTGGCTGATGTGCTGGAACAGCCGATTTGCAAGGCGAAAATTTGCACGGAGAAAATTTGCACGGAGAAATGGCTGCGGAATGTGAGAAGAGGGCGGGGATCCTCTGCTCAAAGGGTCATGTCACCATGTCGTAAGGTGATGTCACCATGTCGTAAGGCGATGTCAGTCTGCTGTGGAACTTCTGCAAATCTTTTCCAGCGCGATTCAGCACTGGAATGGTGAGATTCGTGAAATGCGAGACCCTGGCAAAGCTTAAAGGTCCCAGTTTAGCACAGCAGTCCGAACCGGGACTTCTTTGAATTTCTTCGAATTTCTTCGAATTCCTTCGAATTTCCTCGAATTTCCGTCATTTCGGGGCGTCGCTCTCCCGTGTCTGAAAAATTGCAAAGGAGGAATAAACGAATGAGAAAAAGATATTTATTGAAGAATATATCTGGGCATCGGATTTTTCCTGGAACTGAGGGCTGTTAGCATTCCGAGCGGAGGAAATCCGATTGATCCTTAATCCAATCCTTAATCCCCCGTAAACTACGCCCGTACGGTGTAAAAAGCACTCAGAAAAATTTTTTTTGCATCAAGTACCCGTACCGTACAGTGTAACGGGCACGGGGCGCAGTGGGTTGGATTTATATCAACTATTAATTAAGTTAAAAGAAAAACTTTACCTTAACGCGCCCCGATTCCGCGACAGTGAATTCCCTTCCGTGCCAGTTCTAATTCGAGTGGGAGTAATTCAAGAAAAAAAAAATGTATTTCCAAAAATAAAAAGTAATAAAAAAAAAGACTAAAGAAATGTTAGACAAACAACCGGTCAGTACCTGTCAACCGGTACCTTTACAGTACTTTCAATGACAACGGGCAAGGGCTTCCAGATAAAACCTTGCAAGTTCTGGAGAAAACTCACGACCATCGAAGCGAAAAGATCCTCCGAGTCAAATCGGTACACTCTCAGAAAAAGGGGAGCGATTTTTCTTAAAAAAGAGAGTAAAATAGCTAACTCCAGTGTGAAACTGGAGTTAGCTATTTTCCCCTTTCACTCCGGGAACAGGAGCGAATTTACCAAGGAGAAAAATTGCTCTCCTCCTCCGTAGGAACGCTCCCATCAGAAAGTGATAGGGATGTCATGCAAATACGAAAGATCTCATATACTGTGTGTAGTTTCGTTCTCGTACAGGCGTTGACCTACCCTTGCCTGTATTGAATACAGCACGCGTCAGAGGGTGGACCACCTCTTATAGATTCCGCAGAGTGTTCGAGGTATCAGTTCCTTATTACCTCATTTAATTGAGGTGTGACTGTATGAAGTACGCGGTCACTCTCCGTATATTCTAGACCTCCCATGCGGATAAAATAGGAATATGAGCTTGTCTATGGCCTGGACTCCATGAATATTTCTTGAATATGTGGATAACAAAGCGGGTTTGCCTGTCAAAAGTACTGTTGTAACGTATGCCAGCCTACGACCGCGGAACGTCCAGTGTATCAGCAGAGAGTCAAGGCGGGGGAGGAAGCCGAAGGAGGTGAACTAAAACATCCATCAACACGTGGAGGGAGGCGAAGAGCTACCCAAACACTGTACAAGGAGCCATAACATCATCAAGCGAATGGGTATCAAAGTCCCTCCAATCAAGTCTAATCGCCAAAACCTACCCTCCAATCCCGCAAGATTTCAGCTGAAGATCCCTCACTCCGAGGTGACAGAAGAACTCGAATTAGTACACTCTTAAAAAATTCCAAGCGTTTGGGGAGTAAAAAGTGAGCACACCGTGAGCTTTTCGAATTTACTCTCTTATTATTCACCAAATGCTTTCTAGGTGCTTGTTTTGGGGTGGGGGGGGGGGGCAAGGGGGGGCAAGGGGGGGCATGGTGGGAGGGCGGGGACGGTCGTGTCCCTGGTTTGGGTGCTTCGATTCAGACTGTCAGATTTGATGTCGATGTTTCCGTGGTTGGCCTTTATTGCATATTTTAAGACAATAGTAATAACATTTTTAAGATTAATTTCATATATTATAAAAATATTTCTCATATTACGTGGTAGGCAGCGTTGCGTAAGTAAATGCTAGCTGTACCAAATACTTCGTTACGGCAGGGCAAATTCTCTCTTCCCGTTAGGGTTCGCTTTTAAAGTACAAAATTAAAAAAAAAAAGTGAAATCCCCTATTGGGAACCAGTGGAAACAGTAGAATCGCAGAACAATACGTAATTCAAGGCATCTATCGAGCACTTTATGCATCATTCACATTTCTTAACAGGTCGTTAAAAGCGACAAGGTTATTTCTCAGAATGTACAACTACTGCATCAAAACGACTCGCCCAATTTTTTGCCACACTCTATCGCCATCCACTCGACACGGCAATCTCCAACCTCACTCAGCCTTCGCATTCACGCAGTACCGAGTCCTCCGCGTTGGTGGGGGGGGGGGGGGGGAGGAGGTATATAAGGAGGTGGTCTCCTTCGTCGTTAGTCACTTCTCTTTTGTCCTGGAGTGAATGGGGTTCGTTCGACTGTTCCTCTGGCTGCCCGGGGAAGGTGATTAGCGGGGGTAACGATCCGACGATTAGGCGGTGGGCTCGGCGGAAACTTCGTTAGAATCGATTGGTCCGGATCGCCTTTTGTTCTTCGTTGGGGGGATCCCGGCCGGTCGTGTTTCGCTTCTGCCGTTTCCTTATTGGGAATCGTCTGAATCTTTTTTTTTTTTTTTATAACTCGTTTCGGTTCTCGGTTCTTCGATGAGTCATTAGAAGATCCTGGAGTTTTTTTTATTTAAGGAGTCGGTTGTATAAATTATTGAGATATCCTGAAAATGATTATCGGAATGTCTTCTACCCCTAAAAACGGCGTGTGGATCCCCTTACGGAAATGTCCTGTAGGAAACCTATAGACTTTCCTATATGTTTTTGAAACACGAAAAGCCTATAGGGTCTTATAGGTCTCCTGACCTATAGGATTCGGGGAGGATTTTTTGGGTTTCGAAACCCAGGCATTACGACGGAAAAGGCGACTGCGGTTAATATTGGCCCAGCATTTTGGTTTAAATCAATTACCGATTAGGGGTTTTCCCATGGTAGGGACACTTGCATTATTAAAACCAGTACTGCCCGGTTCTGCATAATTCATGGCCCCATATGTCGCTGGATCGCGCGTCCACTTCCTTAGAGAGAAGTATCATTCTTCTCTCGACCTAAGGAAACAGAAGACAGAACCTGCGAGCACGTCTCTTTACTGATTCGGATAGAGTCTACTTATTTTTTTATTTTATTTTATTTTTCTAATGGGGGGGACTGGCCCCTCTCCCTGATGGTGGGTACATCAGGGTTCCCGCCAGTCCCGGTGAAACCCTCCAGGTGCAAGACCCCCTCGAGGCTGATTTAGACAATGGGAATGGTCCCCATTATCCCGGTCGGAGACCGAGGTTTCTCCCGTCTGTTTCACAGATGGCTCATTAGTTAGGACAGTTGCAACAGCAGCCTAGAAAAAGGTGAGAAATATTCGTTTAACTTTTAAAGAGTGAAAACACGTTGGGGCTATTTTAGACCCACTTTTAAAGATAAAGATTTAAAGATGATTAAATCCTATCCATTTTATAACAGCATTTATATAAGTTTTAGGTACCAATCGGGTTCCCCGTGAGCTACTTGGGATTGACAGGTGCCAGCTGTTGAGAAAAACATCATCAGGCTCCCTGCTTGTCCCGACAGATAGAGAGGAAAGCTGCTTAACAAGGCAGACTAGCTAAAGAGGGAGATCCTACGATTGACGCTGAGCTGCCTTAATTGGTTGGTGGATGGAAGCGATTAGGACGGTTGTGGCTGCATGGATGCCAGAAGGGGTGGATGAGATGAAAGTCCCCTTTATGGGGTATTCAGAGGGCTTCATCAGTTCAAGAGTGAGGGATTGGAAATGGCCTAAAAGGCGGCCGGGGGAACAAAGAAATGGTCAAAGGATGGGTGAGGGTTGGGGGGAGCGTGGCTGAGTAGTTGAGTCATTTGGGAGATCATCGAGTGTGTTAATGATATAATGTTCCCAACTGGAGATTCGACGGCGTGTGCTGAAGATGGGAGATTCAGCTCTGAACGCTCGTCGTCGTCCTTTGTGCTTTCTGTCGTATGTTGTCAGGTATTCGTGTACGTCTTCAGGGTGTACGTCTTCAGATCTCCCTCTCGTAGAAGGAGAGAGCTAGATCTGAGGCGTACACAAGAGGTGTAAGGCCACTGACCCTATAGATGTAATCAGAGGGGTAGTGACGTGGGATTCTGTACGCGAACTTAATCGCAGCTCGTTCGATGCGTGCAAGCGTGTCCAAGGAGGAATCGGGGACATTGGCCCAGGCCGCAAATCCGTACGTTAAAACAGGACTGATGTAAACCTTATACAGGCGCATGATGACGTCTGGCCCACAACCGTTGACACGCGAGAGCAACTTCAGGCAATTCACTTTACGAATTGCCTCATGACGTAGCATCTGCACGTGGGGGGACCAAAGGTTGGTGGAAAGTGATACCTAGAAATTTGCAGGTGGAAGCAGCGGGGATGAGGTTCCCGTTCGTCCAAAGTCTTAAGTTGTAGGTGTGTCGGGATGGGCTTCTAAAGGTATGAGGATTTGGATGGATTCATGGAAATCCTCTAATCCTTACAGTAGGATGAAAGAGCGTCGAGGACAAGTTGGGCATCCTTTTCTAGCTTCACTTCATTTTTTATCGTGAGCCATATTGGCTGACATATGCAAATGATGGAAAACCTATTCACTCTCGTACGTGGTTTTCAAAGGGAATATGGGCGAATTTCTTGCCTGGACTCCGTGATTCTATCTGGAAGATGAGGATGACAAATAAGGGAGCGTCCAAGTTTATGGATTGCTACAATGAGGCAAGGCGAGACATATGGGGATGCACAAAACTCTCTTGTGAGAGATGATTCCATGGGTAAGGGGAGGGCACTTTTGTGTCCTTTGAGAAATGCGAAAACCCAATACCTCCATCTAGTGGCCTAGAGGAGAACTTCAAACGGAACCTATAGGTTCTATATGGAACCATATAGGTCCCAAACTGAACCCTATGGGGCCTATAGGAACCTATAGGATTCCTTTATGTTCCTCTAGGAATCCTATAAGACATTTTCGTAAGGGTCTTTTAAGAAATTGCAAAATTGTCTATCGTATGATTTGAGGGAATCTAGGTGGAGAAATCTCCCTTTCTCTCCCGTTCTGGCAGCAGGGAAAGTTCGCTCAGAGGAAGAACAGAAATTATCGACTCAGGGCGCTGTCAGACGCTGCGAATTCGCTCGCTCGTGACTGCTCCCGAATGAGGGAATTTCCCAGGTGGTTTTTCGCGAGTTTTCAGGGCGACGTCGGCCGGATGGTTGGTTCCTCTCGTCCAGTCGCCCGGTCGAGATCGGAATGATTTTTCCGGGGTGAAATTTTCACCGCTGGAGTCGCTTAAAAAAAATTATGATTGGAACTTTAATGAGGAAAATTAGAGTGGTGTGATGCAAAATCGGCAAGGAGGCGAGAAAATGGTTTCGAAAATCCAAAATTTTCCCAGAATGACGAGATCTCCATCCTTTCCGTGCTGAATCTTGACACCTTCACGGAACTACTGGCCCTCCTTGAGCCCCAAACCAAGAGAGTGGATAGTCGTGTGGGAGTCGCCCTGTTGGCTGACCATGCCACCCAATCGGGGGGCGTGGTTGCCACGAGCTGCTCATAGTCCCTGACAAGCAGCCATATGCGAGAGGAATCATAGCGTGTGATAGCGCCTTTAGGTCGTGCCATGATAAAATCGTCCTGCACGTCGTAAACGACACCTCCCTCGTTATCCTCGTCAAACAAAGAGGAAAGAAAAGATGCAACTTATCTATGCGCGCCTGAAAAACTATTTACACGAAAGAGATCCCACCGATCCTCCGGAAGCTTGCGGTATTCCGGCTGAAAAGCAGAAGGCGAACGGATTCGATGAAGCATGGTGAGGCAAAGTTCAATGCTAAATAAGAAATGCTGAAGAAGAAATGCTAAAGAAGAAATGCTAAAGAAGAAATGCTAAAGAAGAAATGCTAAAGAACCATCATTCATTTTGATCCATCTGCATCCATCCAATTTGATTTTTTTTTCCCGCCAACATCTCCGCAAGCATTTTCGAATGTAAAGTTGAAAATTTTACCATTTACCCTAATTCCTTGGAAATGTTATTCTTCCAGGTTATTCCTGGATTGGTCCTTGGAGCACTACTTCATACTTATTAATTTTACTAACAGTCATGCCTCCCTCTGCTGTTCTCGGATCCATCGAGTTCGAAAAAGGAAATGAAGCCGTCGATCTGGAAGCGTTCAGAACATTAATCATCATAGCTGATGAAGTCGACACTGAGGACTCTTTTCCTAAAAGAATGCCTTTTTCCGAAATGTCCGAAATTCTCCAGATCGAGATTATTCAATAGTCATACATTTATGTTAAACAGAAATCCACACTTTCACCCAAGATCGATGCTACGATATGCAAAAATAAATTCGCGTTTTCTCGAGGGCCTAGGTAATAATTGCATGACATTTTCAAAACTGCTTCTTCCGTCCCTCACAGGCCTCTGCGATGGAAACAGTACCTGGCCGTCCCAACCACCATTGCCTTCATGTACCTCGTCTACGTCTTCAGCGGAGAGGGGCGCATGGTCGTGACAGACCCTTGGTTGCACCCGAAGAACCTAGCCGAAACGGGGAAGGACGACCGACCGGTTGTGGTCACAGCTGCATGTGGAGTGCAGGCCCCGAAGGAACTCCTCCTCTCCCTGCGATCCCTCATCCTCTTCTCTCACGTCCCCTTCCGATACGTCGTCATCGCCGACGACGTCGCGGCCGACATGCTCCGTCAGGTGCAGAGAACGCTGCCTCCACACGTGCAACTCGAGATCGTGGGGATCCACATGCGCATTCCATGGAAATATCGTCCCTGGAATGACGCATTCCACGAGCCCTGCACGTGGCAGAGGCTGTTCCTGCCCGACATCTTACCGCATTACCGTCTTGCTCTGTACGTCGACATCGACATGCTGTTCTTCGTGGGGTTGGAAGAAGTTTGGCAGGCCTTCAGGCAATTGGAAACCGGTCAACTGATAGGCATCACCCTGGAACACGAGGTGCTTTCCACGAGTTCAATTTATCAGACGTCGGAGAACGGCCACATCCCGCATTACGGGAAAACAGGAATTCAGGCAGGGATCCTCTCCATGGACCTCGAGAAGATGAGATCTCGCGGCTGGAAGGAGGAGATTCTGGGAATCCTGGAGGAACGAATGGGAGACATCGCCTTCAAGGATCAGGACATCCTCAACATCTACGGCCATCGCCATCCGGATGCCATCAAGATTCTGCCTTGCAGATGGAATTTCAGGTTAGATGGCGAGAGTTTCCACTCATAATTTTGCACGTAAAATAAAGTCTCAGAGGCCATTTCTCGCATCACTGCCGCTAGAATCGGCAAATTTGATCAGACAAGGCGGAAAGAACAGCCAGGAAGAAGTTCGAAGGTCTTACCGATCGATTTCGCACACTGCTCTTTTCTGTATGCCAAAAGAACACTTACGATGACCATTTCCTGCCAGCCTGTCTTCGTCTGTTCTCTTATTAATTCTTATTATCTTTCGAACTTCTCTGCCTTCCAGACAGGAACACTGCCGCCACGAGAACAACACCTGCCTCTCGGCGCACGAGGACGGCATCGGCATCCTCCACGGCGCCGCCGAGACCTTCCGCAACTGGAAGTTCCCGGGGATCCGAACGGCCGCGGACGTCTTCCGGGAATGGGACTTCCGGGCGGACCCTTCCGGCCTCGCGGACGAGATGGAGCGAAGAATCGCGATGCTGGATGACGACGCCAGCTGCGATCCCTTGCGGCTTCGTTTCTTCTCCAAGACCCTCAGGAAGCAGTTGTCCCAGACCTTTGTTGTTCCTTGATGTCATATGTCGAAGCGTCTGCTGTGAGCTTCCATCATTTTCATTATATGTTTCAAAAATGACAGCATCACGAACTACATTTATTACTAGCTTTGATGAATATTCATGCTCTTTAAAGAAGAGAATGACAAAGAGACATAAAATCCCTTTACCATATTCTTCCTAAGGCTACATACATTTGCCCGTGAGAGAACGCGTCATTCCGTAAATGCAGCCTACATCTATTCGTGTTCCCGCGTCGTTGAAGGAAGTGTGCGCATGGAGTTGGCATTGACCTAAGCGTCCGTAAGTGGATTTGGGGATAGCCATACCATAAATCGCAGTCAAGCGAAAATCTTCATACCCGCATTCCCGTGAGAAAAATAAATGTAACCCATTCGCATCCGCAAGCGTACTAGTACGCACGAACCAGTGTCCTTCCACGTAGCTCGCGACCCAGATAGGCAAAGGCGGAAAGACCTCGCACGAGGCAGCACGATTCTCGGTCAGACGAGCCGAAAAGTTCCTGGATGCAAATGGGTCAAGCATTGATGTAAGCCTGAGGCGCATACGTCTGAGGGTTAGATAGAGGCCTGCCAAATCAGTCTCTTCAGGGCATGTACCAATAAAGTCCAACTTTACGGTATGCAATCCAACAGCTATTGGTTTTCCTTTCCGCTTCCTTGAAGGGAGAAAGTGCATGAGAATGATATTAGCCTAAGCTTCCATCCACGGATTAGGCCTGGGTCTACGAAATCAGTCATCCCCCCCACCCCCCCCCCCCCCCGAAATGTGCCCCGCGGGGCTTGTACCCCTAAAGTTGGAATTTTCCTGGAGTCGGCAGTCTGGCAGCTCTTCGTGCACCGAATGCATTTCTAGAACACGAGTGCATTTCTAGAACACGGTTAGAATTAGCGCCAGTCGCTCACGATCATCGTTGCGTATGGCTGTTCCGAGCGTTGCACTTGCGGCACACTGGTGCAATCTGTTGTTTGTCGATCTGACATTACAATGATCGCATGGCAGACATTAACTGACATTTCGATCATGCCACTTCTACTCGCATGGAATTTAGCTTCCTAGTTTCTTTTTTTTTCCTCAAAAATATGCCAGCTCTCTATACCCATTAGCAAGTGCAAATTTGTAATAAATAAATAAAAATAAAAATAAATAAATGAATAAAAAATCCCTGCCCCGTCGAGGAGGAATGTGAAGAAAGCACTTATCAGTACTAGAAATTCCTCAACGAGGAGAAACAAGTACCTCGATACCTCAGCCATCGAAATCCGCATCTGACATCCACATGCCATCCATACGTACGACACACATGTGACTCCAATTTCGAAATCGAACCTCGTTGTAGGCAAGCGGCTTCAGCCAGTCGAAAAGTAATTTTTTTTTCGCACTCGCGTCGTACGCGAAGCACCTGTCCCCTCAGCCGAGACCTGGTGAACTCGCGGAACTGGGGAAATATTTAAGCGAATTGGCGACATCTATAGCAGCGAGAGGAAGACGACGCGGAGGGGCAGTATGAACACTACTGCCATCTGCCCCGAAACGTACGAACTACGTAACGAGACGAACCACGGCCACTCGAGCGTCCAAAGGGTCAGTAGAGAGTTCGCCGCCAGCTGCATCGGTGGTCCCGGCTGAGCCCTCCGCTTCTGGTGGCGGGGAGGATTCCACAAGCAGGGAAGTTTCCGCCGTGCCTTTCTTTGTCGATTATCGCTGTTTCGAGTCGCATTCGAGAGATGAGACGAAGAGGGAGAGTCTTCAAACACTCTCGGAACAGCAAACCATTCCGATCTGTTTGTGATGTGTCAGTGGAGTTATTTTCTCGTATCAGCGCTGATCGCGAAGCATCGCGAAGCGTCGCGAAGCGTCGCGAAGCAGGAAGCGTCTTCCCTCGAGTAAAAAATTATCCTTAAGTCATCACTGATTGCACCCAAGTGGCCCCGCAGTGCACGACAGATCCAGATTGCCGCCCTTACGAAAATGCCTTATAGGATTCCTATATATTCCTATAGGAACCTAAAGGAATCCTATAGGTTCCTATATACCCCATAGAGTTCAGTTTGGGACCTATAGAGTTCCCTATAGAACCTATTGAACCCCCTATAGAACCTATAGGATTCCCCATAAGGCCTATAGGTTCCCTATAGGACCTAAAGGGTTTTGTATAGGACCCGTAGGGTTCCCTATAAAACCCATAGGGTTCCCTGTAGGACCTGTAGGGTTCGCTATAGGGCCTATAGGATTCTTTATAGGACCTATAGGATTCACTATAGGACCTATAGAGTTCACTATAGGGCCTAAAGGGTTCCCTATAGGACCTATAGGGATTATACGGAACACTATAGGCCTATACGTTTCCGTTTGAAGGTCTCCTCTATGCCACTAGATGGAAGTATTGGGTTCTCACATTTCTCAAAGGACACAAACGTGCCCTCCCCTTACCCAAGGAATCATCTCTCACACGAGAGTTTTGTACGTCCTACACAAACGTGCCCTCCCCTTACCCAAGGAATCATCTCTCACAAGAGAGTTTTGTACGTCCCCGAATGTCTCGCCTTGCCCCATTGTAGCAATCAATTAACTTTAAGAGTTCCTTATTTGTCATGCTCTTCTTCCAGATATAATTATGGAGTCCCGTGAAGAAATATGCCCTTATTCTTTTTGAAGACCACGTACGAAACTGTGCGGACTCTATCCAAGTGGAGTTTCAGTAAAGAGACGTGCTCGCTGGTTCTGTCTTCTATTTCCTTAGGTCGAGAGAAGAATACCACTTCTTCCTACCGAAGGAGTAGATGTACAATCGATGTATGTGGTGATACCACATACGTGGTATCACCACATACATCGATTGTACATCTACGATTGTACATGTGGTGATATGTGATACCAGCGATGCATGTGGGCCAGGGTCATAAATCATGCAGATCCTCCCAGTACTGGTATTAATAATGCATTTGTTCCTACCACGGAAAAACCCATAATCGGTTCTTTGATTTACACCGAAATGCTGCGCCAATATTAACCCCGGTCGCCATTCTGTCGTAATGCCTGTGTTTCGAAACCCAAAATATCCTCCCCGAATCCTATAGGTCAGGAGACGTATAAGACCCTATAGGGATCCTTTAGGAACTTAAAGGATCCTATAGGTTTTTCGTGTTTCAAAAGCCTATAGGAAAGTCTATAAGTTTCCTANCAAAATATCCTCCCCGAATCCTATAGGTCAGGAGACGTATAAGACCCTATAGGGATCCTTTAGGAACTTAAAGGATCCTATAGGTTTTTCGTGTTTCAAAAACCTATAGGAAAGTCTATAAGTTTCCTATAGGAAATAACTATTGGTTTCCTATAGGACATTTCCGTAAGGACCGAGCTCAAGCACGATTCTCTCAGAGCCGGCATTCCGGTTGGCCTCTGTGTGGACATGTGCAGCCTCTTGCACCTTCTGAATATTTTCTGGGGTTCGCTCTGTTGGCGTGCGCGACCTTGGATGGAGTACGGATCCGAATGTTCGAAAGTCTCGGTAAATGGTTGCAAACATAGACCGACTGATTGCATCACGCCTTGGTAGATTCCAGATTGTCCTCAAAGTTATTGAGGTCTCGCTGGGAGATTTTTTGTCCAAGAGATATTGCTCCAAAAATTTAGATTTTTTTTTTCTTTTGTTTAGTGACTAGCCATGGTATCTCGCTGACTTGGTGGCAAAGTCATGCTAACATTATCCCAGATTGCAAAATGCTTTGACCCATCTGTTTACCTTATAAGGCATTTTCGTAAGGGCTCGACATCCGGCATCCCGCGGAGCTTGAATTCGCCCGCGGGAAAATTTACGCGGAAGAAAAAAGGACTTGGAATGTAAATTTCTCCTTCGCGCCGGATCGCTCATTAAAATAAATCCTTCACCAACATTTCTGAGGACTGTAACATCAGGAGTAACATCAACATCACCAAGTTTGTAACTTTTTCCATGCGATTTTCCGCTGTTACTCCCGTTCAAGAGCGACCGATTATGAGAATTTTTTTTAAAACCCATTTCCGGAGCAACGAGCTTAGCCAGAGACAAAGTAAAAAAAAAAATCCCTTTTCGCATCGCACAACGCCTCGGCATCGATGGAATAGAGGCCTTTGCGGCTCCTAAAAGTTGGTTGGGCATTCTGGGCGAGTCGTCGATGACACCTGAAAATCCAGCAATGGCGAATAATTTTCAGAATTCAGCAGAATAAAATATCCTGAGAAATAATAAAACTGAGACTGGGAACTAGCGCTTGGTAGAACCCTGCACGGGAAGGGATTTAAGAAAGATGATCCTTGATCGTCTCTCGCGAGCGGAAAGACATCGGAAATCCGACGATGAAAAAGGATTTTCACCTCGGAGACCCCAAATCCTCCCCCTCCCCCCCTCCACCCCCGATTGTTTGCGTCCGAGCCATCCCATTCACACACGGGAATAGAATGACTTCATCCATCGCTCATCCAATTCTCATCCCCCTCTGGAAGCGGAAGAAGGCTAAAGGCTAAAGTTAACCCTTTCGAGGGAAAATTTTTTCTGAATGCGCAAATGACAAAAAAATCAGTCAAATTTCCTTTTTTCACTTTCAGCGACCTTTATTTTGGGGGAACTTATTTTCCTTCTTTCTTCAAATATAAAAAATCCTCTTTTTTGTGTTGGGAGTTATTCTTCCCCCCTTTTCCTCGCCACAAGTTCACAACACGGCTCTAAACCCACACGACTGAAACATCCGTGATTATGAAAATTTTTTTTAGTCTCTGCACTGCTTCGAAGGTCAGTTGCGGCGGAACCGAAAGTCTTTGAAAAACGGAAGTCTTTGAAACATGGAAGTCTTTGAAACACGGAAGTCTTCACGGTGGACACTTGACGTAAGTCGCGTGGACGCGAAGCACTAATCTCCCGATGCGACGAACGCCTGGGGCATCTGGTTCCTGATGGCTTTGCTGAAGAATCGAAGCCGCAAGGGATCACAGCTGGCGTTGCCATCCAGCATCGCGATTCTTCGCTCCATCTCGTCCGCGAGGCCGGAAGGGTCCGCCCGGAAGTCCCATTCCCGGAAGACATCCGCGGCCGTTCGGATCCCCGGGTACCGCCAGTTGTGGAAGGCGTTGCCGGAGCCGTGGAGCAGGGCGATTCCCTCCTCCTGGGCCGGGAGGCACCTGTTGTCCTCGTAGATGCAATGTACCTGCCTGGATCGTGAAGAAAAGAACCTTTCTCTCTTCCAGGCCTTTCTTATTTACGAGTATCTCGACCAATACAAAATGCTCGAGCAAGCTTCCTCTCAGTGAGAAAATGCGAGGAAATTTCCCTAAAATCTCAATAAGAAAATTCTTGGAAAGCGATCATCATATGGTATCCCCATCCCATTCGAAGAGAATAATTAAAGGGCAATCCCAGAGTAATTGGGACAAAAGTGGCAGGAAAATTTATCCGTAAATTCGCTCCAACGTAATTTTTCGACATACTATGAAATAATACAAAATTAGACAAAATAAGGGATCCACTGAGCGTGCATCGTGAACCTCCCTTTTTTAGTTTTTTACTCCAGGAACGTTGAAAAACTTTTTTTTTTTAATTTCATCAGCAGCAAATGCCATTTGGCACGAAAAGAGGTGACAGTCTATGCCTTCTTGAAAACATGAGAGCTCCAGACGGGACAGATTACAACTATGTTACGTGAGAACCAATACAATAATTGTTATTGTATTGGCTCTCAAACAATTCATTTTCCTCACGTTACGTCAGTAACACGAAATAAATGACATTACTTTTCTTCCCAAAAATATAATTTTGGGGAGAATATAAAGGACGAGCTCAATGTTGGGACGCACAGCATCCATTGCGACGTCCGAGTCGGCAAAAGAAATCGAATCTGGCGGCTGCGCGATGAAGATAGTTTCTTAAATAACCGAATCATATTTACTCTCCGGGCTGCTGGGAAGACCAGAGGGCTGACCTGACCTGACCTGACCTGAAATTCCATCGGCAAGGGAGAACTTTGATGGTGTCCGGGTGGTGATGGCCGAAGATGTTGAGGACGTCCTGGTCCATCCAGCCGAGGCGCCCGTGCTCTTCCAGGATCTTCTGGACCTCGTCTTCCCATCCCATGGGCCGCAGCTTCGCAAGGTCCATCGAGAAGACTCCGCCTTGGAGACCGGACTTTCCGTAATACGGGACCCCGCTGTGGAACCCGCTCTCGTAGATGGACGATGTGGAGTTCTCCTCGTGCTCCATGGTGAAGCCGAATAAATGGTTGGGTCCCAGCCGACTGAAAGCCTGCCAAACGTCTTCGACGCCGACGAAGAACAGCACGTCCGCATCGACATACACAACAAAACGGTCGTGGGGGAGAATGTAGGGCAAGAAAAGCCTCTGCCAGTGGCAGGGTTCGTGGAATGCATTATGCCAGGGACGATACTTCCACGGAATGCGTTTGTATATCCCCACGATCTCGAGTTGCACGTGCGAAGGAAGCGTTCTCTGCACCTGCTGGAATAACTTGGTCGTGGGCTCGTCGGCGACGACGACGAATCGGAAGGGGACGTGAGAGAGGAGGATGAGGGATCGCAGGGAGAGGAGGACTTCCTCCGTGGCCTGCACTCCACATGCAGCTGTGGCCACAACCGGTCGGTCGTCCTTCCCTGTTTCGGCTAGGTTCTTCGGGTGCACCCAATAGCTTGGTATGAGGATGCGCTCCTCTTGATTGAAGGCGTAGACGAGGTACATGAAAGCAATGATGGTCGGGACGACCAGGTACTTTTTCCATCGCAGAGCCCTGTGAGGGACATTCGAATCTGGTTTGAAAATGTCACGAAAGAATGACTCGAGAGAATGCGAAGTTTTGGCTTTGGATATCATGAAAATTACGGGAAAAGGGCGAATTCCTGCACGAACTCCAGGAAGATCGTGAGCGAATTCTCTCGACCTTGCAAATTTCCTGCACGTTTGCCTATCGCTGAGTATCTCTGACTCCGGTGGCACAGACATGGCCAGCCTGAATACTTCTTTTCCATCCTGTTTCCGGAAATTCTCAAGAAACGCAGAAGACTTTTGGAAATTCAATTTCCTCCCATTACCCCGTTTTCCCATGCCATCCCTTACGGAAATGTCCTATAGGAAACCTATGGTTATTTCTTATAGGAAACCTATAGACTTTCCTATAGGTTTTTGAAAGACGAAAAACCTATAGGATCCTCTAGGATCCCTATAGGATCTTATAGGTCTCCTGATCTATAGGATTCAGGGAGGATATTTTGGGTTTCGAAANAACCCAATACTTCCATCTAGTGGCCTAGAGGAGAACTTCAAACGGAACCCTATAGGCCTATAGGGTTCCGTATAAGCCCTATAGGGAACCCTATAGGTTTTATAGGGAACCCTATGGGTCCTATACAGAACCCTTTGGGTCCTATAGGGAACCTATAGGCCTTATGGGGAACCCTATTGGTTCTATAGGGAACCCTTTAGGTTCTATATGGGGATCTATATGTTCTATAGGGAACTCTATAGGTTCAATAGGGAGCCATATAGGTCCCAAACTGAACTCTATGGGGCATATAGGATCCTATAGGATTCCTTTAGGTTCCTATAGGATTCCTATATATTCCTAAAGGAATATATAGGAATCCTATAATACATTTTCGTAAGGGATCATCTGCATTCGTCTTGAGTCTAATTTCTGGAATGATTTCTGCTGACGGAGAATCGGCGCGAGGACGTCTGGCGATCGCCAATATGCATCCCATGCGAATGCATCCCATGCGAATGCATCCCATGCCTTCTCGTTTAGTCGAATGAGGTTCCCGCACGTGAAGCGAGATGGCGCAAAAAGAGCCGCGATTTCAGTGGCATCTGGTAGTGACTCGCCTCACGCTTCGACGATCGAGGACAAAAAAAAATTATAAGCGGGGTGAGACAAAAAGTCTCTATGCAATTGTTGAATGTAGAAAATGGTTTAGTTTCTAACGCCGCTGTCGACAACAAAACACAATTAACGCGGGAGAATGATTTTGCGATGCAATTTCGAAAGCTACCGGCTTCATCCAGCGGTTTTGAGACAAAGAGGACCAAATCAGCAATACACCAATTTTTCAGTATGCAGGGACTGTGTAGTAACTTTTGCCCAAGCGAATATTTAAACGAAACGTAAAACGCTCACGTGCTTCCAGGTACTTAGTACCTGAAGAGGAATCAGGCGTAACCTTTTTTTCTGCCATCGAGATTTGGATATTCTCATCATCCTCACTGGATCGAGTCAAGCCCTGATAATTACCACCCTGATAATTACCACCTTGATAATTACCACCCTGGTAATTACAACCCTGATAATTACCAGGATTGGACTTTAAAAAAATTTTTTTTTTGCAAATGCATTTGAGGAATTTGAGTCTTATAAATTGTCCGTGGGAAAAGATGCATGAAAAGTATCAAAAACTCGCAGCGAGTTGCAACCTGACACCACCGAAATCATGGCTATTTTGGCGCCATCTCGCTTCACGCGTGGAAACTTCATTCAAATGAGATGGTGCGCCCACAGACGGCTATTTGTTGAGATGCATGGGGTGGTTCGAAGTGGGGCCTACGTGGGCAATCCACTGCGGTGTGGGTCCATGCTCGCAGCCGACGTTGGCCGAAGGTGGTGGTATCATTTCTGGATTAGCCAACAATGAATGCGTTCATGCGTTGGCCAGGAGGATCTGCCTGCGTGACTCATGCTCGTGGAGTCAGCGAAGAAATACGGTTCGATTTCGGAATCCATTATTTCTTCGCATTTGCATTTTTTTTTAATTTGCAATAACCAAAAGCAACTCTTGCAGATGCGAGTCTTTAAAGGCTTGCCAAAACAAGGAAATTTCTCGCAAAATCTCATTGCAAAATTTCTCCAGTCTTCCTTCTTTCATTAAAACGAGAATGTGGGTAAAGCCGGAAAAAAAATCCACCGTTTTCAGGACCTACCCCTCACCAAGACCCCGAATCCCTCACCAAGACCCCGAATCCCTCACCAAGACCCCGAATCCCTCACCAAGACCCCGAATCCCTCACCAAGACCCCGAATCCCTCACCAAGACCCCGAAGCCCTCACCAAGTCCACGAACCCCTCACCAAGACCCCGAATCCCTCACCAAGACCCCGAATCCCTCACCAAGTCCACGAACCCCTCACCAAGTCCACGAAGCCCTCACCAAGTCCACGAAGCCCTCACCAAGACCCCGAAGCCCTCACCAAGTCCACGAACCCCTCACCAAGTCCACGAAACCCTCACCAAGTCCACGAAGCAACCGCGAGCAACAAAAGGGGAAAGCCCCAAGAGAGAAAGACCCAGCCTCACCTGACGAACGCCTGCGAGCCGCACCACGCCATGGTCTCCACTCAGACCTCCACTGGAAGAGCGATAAGGATTAGCGTCAACAGATCCGTCGAACAGTGCTGCCGGATATCGAGTTCCATGCAGATACGAATCAGCTTTCCATTTTATGGGGAAGAGTGCTACCGACTCGTTACAATCTACCTGGAGGAGAGAGGAGCTCCTCTTCCATGTAATATACACAACAGATATATAATATATATAATATACGAGTATTATATATTATATATATTATATTTTGCAATAAGTCAATTTCCAGACTTGGCCATGGTGGTCATGAACATATTTTTGGAGAGGATGATTTTCCATAAATTCTATATTCAGCATTGTTCTAGCTCCTCGCAAGTCACATTTAGGAATGAAATGAGGTTTTAGAATTTTAATTTATTGAAAAAAAAGTTACATTTCAATCAAATATTAAATAGTACGCGGTTTTTTAAATGCGCGAAGGTATTTCCCGAGCCGTATCAGACCCACCAAAAATCAAGAAGAATAAGTTTTCCTGCCAGAACACGATCAGTGTTTGATGGTCTAGAACTAGACTGACCTAGACTGACCTAGACTGACATAGACTGACATAGACTGCTGAAATGTGGAAAATCAGCAGCAACAAACCGTTCGAAAATTGGACATGACTCACGAGTAAGTTTCCTCGATGCCTCTCTTCGTCTGTCGATTATTTTTCGAGTCGCATTCGAGAGAGAGACGAATCCGGAGAGTCTTCAAATATTCTCGTATCAGCGCCGATCACAGGCATGAAGCGTTGCCAATGGGGTCTGCAGAATTCTTAGCCAAGCCGATTTGCGAAGAATTCTGGCCCGTGGCAATGCGTGCACCCTAGAGCACTCGCAGTGCTTGACGGATCCAGATTGCTGGATGGAACTCGATATCTGGCAGCCCTGTTCGACGGAGCTCTCGACTCTCATCGCTGATCGCAGTGTCCTCAGTGGAGATAATGGCCGTCGCGCTTTCTTCCCGGTTGGCCATTGCAGATTATGATTTCCCCCCCCCCCCCTTATTTCTCGCGTTTGCTCCGTGGAAAGGAGCGATCCCACGTGGCACAGCAACGTCGAATTGACGTTGAATATACGTATATTTATCGACCTGGAAACGTTGAGTAAACGATGAGAGTATACGTGGACTCGACGTGGAAATGGGAATATCATCTACATAGAGTAAACGTTGATTTGTCAACGTTTCTTGTCTGTGACTTTTGCAGTGACTCCTTCCCTTGTAGAGATCCGCAAGTGATACAATCCAGCCAAAAAGTCTCAGACACAAGAGATTTATTCCTTTACCCATTTTAGACAATTACTCCTCATATCATTTCCAGAATGTCAACATAAACAACAACCAAAGAAACCACATTATCCTCTTAGAGGATTATAGAGGATTCATCAGAGGATCACTCAGGTAATTCCAGCTCCTCACATTCATATTCTCTAAACATCAGTCACTATGAACTGCAAAACTAAGAAAACAGGGTTAGTCAATAATGGCATCCTGAAATCCAGAGATTAATTTTCAGGTGAGGGAATATCGAATGTGATATGCACAATTCAGTAAAAGTGTACAGCCGTTACACTCCTATTCTGAGCATATTGAGGATCATTACACTGTCAAGGAATCCAGTGAGCCTTTCCGGATTACTTAAATAGACAATGGAGAGCTGCAAGGATTCACTTCTAACTTCACTTTGCCCAATCTGCTCATCAGATTATATAACTTTTGCACCTCAATATCACGAGGAAAAACTGAAATAATCTAATGCTAGATGAATCAACCAAAATTACTATATATCCATTAGTAAGTGCTGCTTCCTTTCTCTTGCAAAATTGCATTGAAAATATATCAGACAAATCATGCAAAATTTCAAATATGCTGGGTAGAGTACTGGTAAAGGCTACTTCAAGTATCTCAAACCCAATGGATCTTTAAATATCAAAGCAGCCTAGACATACATCACATATCATAACTTATAAGTAGATCAGTTAAACTTTCTAAGATAGAGAGCACAGAAACATTAAGGCTTATAAAAATCGTGCAATTTTGTATTACATCTTCTCGCATCTAAAGAGAGTTGACAGAATACAGGTTAAAAAAAGGCCGAGAAAAAAGAAAGGTGTACCAAAAAAAATATGCCTGCTTGTGGAGTCTGGACAATATTCAACTCAAATAGCCCATCTTACTACCTCTTATTCACCATCATATTTACTTCCTGAGTTTTACTAAATTGGGTATTTGAACTTAAAAAAAAAAAGGAATTGAATGGGTCTGATGAAAAGCTATTAGCCACGTAAACCTTAATGGAAGTAGGTATCAATTTACTTGCTCTAGACATTCGGCATGTATATTCTATGAAGGCAGCATACTGGTTGAACATGTCATTAAATAACTTACATCAATCAATTTCATTATTTTGATACTCATAGTCTCATGAGAAGCAATAGACCTATCTAAAGTGAAAATATTTAGGTTATAACACAAGTCTGTCAGCTAGGATGCACATAATCCAGCGAATAATATCAACAATGTATCCATCAATATATGGGAAGTGAGCGATTGAAACTGAAACAATCGAAGGAGGTAGTTACGCTGTAGTGCTTTGAGACTCGAGGGGGAGTCCTGCAGGAGTGAGGAGGTGCGCGAACTCGGCCGCATCTCGCGCTTGGTGCTTCCACACTCCAGAACGGCGTTGGGGAAATTGCAGCAGAAATACCTCATTCTGGCGTCGACATCTCGATGTTCATTGATCACTCTTGGAATTAATATCCCCTATATGAACTCCTCGTCCACAAAGGCAATATATATATATATATATATTTCATGAGCAGATAGAAGTTCTTCTGACTCTAACCTCATAATGATAATTTAAAATCGCGAAAATAAGCATCACTTTCCATACATCACAGCTTCACGCTGTGGATGCAATAGAAACGAAAGAAACCAACGTTCTTTTGTTTAGCTATTTGAGCAACAAGCGCTATATGATACTCTTCCCTTTTATCTGTTTTCAACCGGGCTGGACCGAGGGTCCTGCAGGAGTTAAGAGATGCAGGAAGTGGGCCCCCACTCCAACTTCGTGCTTCCACTATCCAGAACGACGGGCGGAGGGGGGCGGGAAATCCAGCAAGAATCCCTCGTTCTAACGTGGACTTCCCGCTGTTCATGGAGCGATCTTGATTAGCCAAATTTGAAATCGTCGTCGTCAAGGAAATAATCAGGATCAACCCTGGATCAACCAGAATCTTTTTACGCTTCAATAGCGGGAAGAGAACCGGATGAATGATGAGATGAAGATATAATGATTACCATGATAAGCGAACCAGGACGAATGCTTATTTCCACACCGGATTAAAACTTTTTTTTGTATCAAATTCATGAAGAAGAAGTATATATAAGTATCTCTGTCTTGTGATCCTAGTGACAAAAAATTTGTATTCCCTGATTCCTCCGTTCTCTCACATTTCCAGGACCCTGTGTAACAAGTTGAAAACCAAATATACATTGTCGAGATACATTGCTGACATAAAAAATACGTCATTTTGATCATCTTGGATCTTCCTCCGTTCCAATGATGGATGAGAACCGGATGAACGATGGGAAGAAGTCACAATGGGAATCCATCACCGTATGTGAAGAGAGAGATTCAAACCGAAACAATCAAAGGAGGCAGTTACGATGTAGTGCTTTGAGACTCAAGGGGGAGTCCTGTATGAGAGAGGAGGAACAGGAAATCGGCCGTATCTCGCACTTTGTGCTTCTCACACTCCAGAACGGCGTGGGGGAGATTCCAACAGGATAATTTTATTTTGCGCCGACATCCGGCTGTTCATTGAACAGTCTTCCGATTCATATCCCCTATATGGACTCCTCTTCCGCAAAGGAAACATATGTATTTCATGATCGGATATGAGTTCTTCTGACAATAACCTCATAATGATGATTTAAAATCGCGAAATTAACCCTTTCGCTAATGGAGTCCACTGTAGTGGACGCGACGTTGTCTTCTCTATCGCAAATCACCACCAACTCCACTCGTTCTTCGTTTATGTGATTCCTTTTTACGTTTTTCCACAGCACGCAATCAGTCGAAAATCATTTCCAATTGGCATGCCACTTCGAAGTGATTTTCGACGACGAGGACCATGTTTGATCCAGCTTGGTAACGGCCGTATACTTGCACACTGGACAAGTGCTATTTTTGTGTCAAATTTTCTGAAGAAGAGTTATGAATGGGTACGTGGAATGGTATTGGGTATAGGCTCACGAGGAAGTTTCCTCGATGCCTTTCTTTGTCTGTCGATTATAGTTTTTTCGAGTCGCATTCGAGAGAAGAATCCGGAGTCTTCAAATATTCAAGTGGAAGAATCAAACGGAGACAATCAAAGGAGGCTGTTGTCGCTGTAGAGCATCAAGGCGCGAGATGCAGTTGGTACCGGCCGTTTACCTGCACACCCAAAATAAACCTATTTTCTATCAAAACCATGAGGAAGAGGTAAACATAAGTACTTTCGTCTTGCGATCCTCCTGAGGGAAAAAAAAATTATTCCCTTATTCCTCCGTTCTCTCAAGCTTCCAACACCCAATATAACACGTCGAAAACCTGATATACATGCTCGAGGAGCAATGGATACATTAAAAATAAACCTTCATTTTAATCATCTTGGATCTTCTTCCGCTTCCAATGTGCGATGAGAACCGGATGAACGATGAGAAAAAGTCCCAATGGGAATCCATCACCGTATGTGAAATGAGAGATTCAAACCGAAACAATCGAAGGAGGCAGTTACGCTGTAGGGCTTTGAGACTCGATGGGTAGTCCTGCAGGAGTGAGGAGTTGCGGGAACTCGGCCGCATCTCGCGCTTGGTGCTTCCACACTCCAGAACGGCGTTGGGGAAATTCCAACAGAAACATTTTATTTTGCGTCGACATCCCCTTGTTCATTGAACAGTCTTGGAATTCATATCCCTTATATGGACTCCTCATCCACAAAGGCAATATATATATATATATATATATATATATTCCATGAGCGGATAGAAGTTCTTCTGACTCTAACCTCATTATGATGATTTAAAATCGCGCAAATAAGCATCACTTTCAATACATCACAGCTTCACGCGGAGGGATGGAATAGGAACGAAAGAAACCAGCGCTGTTTTGTATATCAAGATTCCTCTTTTATTTCCATGTATGCAATAAGTTACAAGATTTAGCATTTAAAAAAAGAAGAAGAAATATTGCAGAGAGAAAGGGGAGAGAAGCAGGCGACTCTTGCGCTTCTACGCTGTCGAGGCTAGTGTCAAGAAGCCTGGTTCCTAACCGTGTGCGTGCGTGTGCGGGCGTGTGAGTGCATGAGCAAGGAGGGCGAGTCGACATCTTCCCAGCGTCCAAGACCGTGTAAGTCGCCATAGGGATGGGGGGCTGCTGGGGCAGAAGGGACGTCGGGTTCCGGCCGTAGATGTCGCTCTGGGCGTAGTCTGCCTCGTAGTAGATCCCGCCTGACTGGACCTGGATCCAAAGGGTGCAAGTCAAGATTTCTTTCGTTTTCTCTTCTCGATGATCACGTTCCGGAACTAAGTTTGTCATTAGAGTGTCCTGTGGTGGCATTCCTCTCTCTGGGTACTCATCAGCTTAAAACGAAGCACGAGTTGAAATCGTCCGATCTTTTTTTAACCTGAGGTTAATTTCCAAGCTTCAGAGCACAAACTTTCAGTCTTTTTCTCGTAAAGCTATTTGTCATTCCTACCCTTCCCAGTTGAAATATGAAAATATATATATACATTTACAGCTCACTACCCACACCACTACGAACGTATCCACGGAGTACCCAGGACCAGGAACGAGGGACGATAGGACTACGACAGGAATACCGTTCCTCCCGACACAGATAGGGAACAGGGAACACGAAGACGTGGAAAAGTGGATAGCGAGGGAAGAAACGGGTCTGTACACACCGCTGCGAGGGCCGCCGCAGCTCCGTAGGACGCCCGAGACTTGGGTCGCAGCTGGTGCCGCGACATCATCAGGTCGCAGTCTCCGTGATCCAGGTCGTCTTCGGAGCTGTCGCCGAAAGCGACCGGGGTCTTAGTCCCGCCGCTGGCGAGGCTTTTGGTCCCCCTTGCCCGGGGCAAGGGTGCCATGTACACGGGGGGCTCGGGCACCAGGGTCGCCGTCGCGTACAGCGCAGACGGCGTGTGCGCCCGGCTCATCGGCACGGCCGGTTCCGGCTGCAATGATTAAATCGGGTTTTCCTTAATGCTCCTTCTCTCTCTTGGTATTCTCTTCAGCATGCTCCTTAGTCGGGCAGTCTTGTTAAGTATCGGTGAGTGGTGTTTGCGAGGCATCGCAACCGGTCCTGTTCGGACCGGTTAGGTGTGACTTAACCGTGTAACGAGAACGGCTTCGACACGATAGAGCAAGGAGAAGCCATAGTAGCATAAGAAATTGTGATTGTTGTGTTAACCAGGGTAAGAACGTTTTAGTGAAATTCTAGACAGAGCCATAAGAAAGTGCATTGTCGTGTCCAAGATGGGCACGGTCGCCAAGCTGGCGACCCTGTCTTTGCGTGTAGAAAAGGGAGAAAGCAGAAGCGGAAGAGTGATATCTGCATGCTTCCAAGCCTCCCTTCGACGAGCACCGTGCAAAGCGACCCCAACCGGCAGCCAGAACCCGGGAATGAACTCACGGCATAGAGATTCTGTGAAAGCTTCTTGGAGTTCGGAAGACTCGTGGGCGGCTCCTGGGCCCAGGTCGGCAGGGTCATCGTGTACGGATCCTGCGGGGACCCGTTCTTGAACCCCCCACCGCCCCCACCGAACGCTCCCAGGTTGCCGAGTCTCGCCCCGAGCACCGCCAGCCCAGAAATCCCCGGGTTCACGAACGTGAACGTCTGGCCGTGGTTCTTGTCCTGCTCGCGCTTCCACCTTCGGCTGGAATCAGAATTGCAATTCGGTTTGAATTCATTCTCAGCAGTTTGACATCATTCTCCAGGCAATCTACAGCGAATTCAGTAAATGTTCACACTTTATGCGAAATTCACAGCAAGGATTGTCGGAGGGTTATCTCGGTGAAGAAGTTACTTGTAAATGTAGAAGAGCGTAGATTTCTCTCAACTGTCTTATGTCCAATTTTTTTCCGGCTCTTTTTTCTTTCCACATGGTTTTTTTTATACGGAGCTTGTGGAGTCTGGACAATATTCAACTCAAATAGCCCATCTTACTACCTCTTATTCACCATCATATTTACTTCCTGAGTTTTAGGCATATTTTTTTTGGTACACCTTTCTTTTTTCTCGGCCTTTTTTTAACCTGTATTCTGTCAACTCTCTTTAGATGCGAGAAGATGTAAATGTTCATTGAAGAAGTGGCTCTATTGGGAGGCTGTTGTCGCTGTAGAGCATCAAGGCGCGAGATGCAGTTGGTACCTGCCGTTTACCTGCACACCCAAAATAAACCTATTTTCTATCAAAACCATGAGGAAGAGGTAGACATAAGTACTTTCGTCTTGCGATCCTCCTGAGGGAAAAAAAAATTATTCCCTCATTCCTCCGTTCTCTCAATTTTCCAACACCCAATATAACACGTCGAAAACCTGATATACATGCTCGAGGAGCAATGGATACATTAAAAATAAACCTTCACTTTAATCATCTTGATCTTCTTCCGCTTCCAATGTGGGATGAGAACCGGATCAACGATGGGAAGAAGTCACAATCGGAATCCATCACCGTATGTGAAAACGAAAACCACATATACATTGTCGAGAAACACGAAAGGGTAGATCTACAGACATGACAGCAGACATAAAGGAAAACTTCATCTTGATCATCTTGGATCTTCTTCCGCTTCCAATGTGGGATGAGAACCGTATGAACGATGAGAAAAAGTCCCAATGGGAATCCATCACCGTATGTGAAATGAGAGATTCAAACTTCGAAATGGCCTTCGCCTGTGTTTGCTGAAATTGCTGAAATACTTCAAATCCATCTCATAGAAATCAACGATATAAACAGCTATTAAATATGTTGTCCCTCGCAATCAGTACCATATTTGATCCAGGTTGGTAACGGCTGTATACTTGCACACCGAAAAAAAAAACTATTTTCTATGTTATTCATGAGGAAGAGGTAGGTATAGGTATTTTCGTCTGGCGATCCTCCTGAGAAAAAAAAATGTATTCCCTGATTCCTCAGGTTTCTCACATTTCCATTACCCTGTGTAACATGTCGAAATCCATTGTCATTATCAATGTCAAAACATTGTCGAGAAACATTGCAGACCTTAAAAAAAAACTTTATTTTGATCATCTTGGGTCTTCTTCCGCTTCCAATGTGCGATGAGAACCGGATGAACGATGAGAAAAAGTCACAATGGGAATCCATCACCGTATGTGAAGTGAGAGATTCAAACCGAAACAATCGAAGGAGGCAGTTACGCTATAGCGCTTTGAGACTCGAAGGGTAGTCCTGCAGGAGTGAGGAGGTGCGGGAACTCGGCCGCATCTCGCGCTTGGTGCTTCCGCACTCCAGAACGGCGTTGGGGAAATTCCAATAGAAACATCATATTTTGCGTCGACATCCCCTTGTTCGATGAACAGTCTTGGAATTCATATCCCCTATATGAACTCCTCGTCCACAAAGGCAATATACATATTTCATGAGAGGATGGAAGTTCTTCTGACTCTAACCTCATGATGATAATTTAAAATCGCGAAAATAAGCATCACTTTCCATACATCACAGCTTCACGCTGCAATAGAAACGAAAGAAACCAACGTTGTTTTGTATATCAAGATTCCTCTTTTATTTCCATGTATGCAATAAGTTACAAGATTTAGCATTTAAAAAAAGAAGAAGAAATATTGCAGAGAGAAAGGGGAGAGAAGCAGGCTTGAGAACGCGAAGATGCGACAGCTCCGATCACAGTTCTTCGGACCAAGGATTGGCACACGCACGCACACGCCCGCACACTCACGTACTCGTTCCTCCCGCTCAGCTGTAGAAGGGTCGCAGGTTCTG